TCTGACACCCCTGTTAAGGAGCTGCTGGGTGGCAGCATCCAAGTCAGAGCCGAACTGGGCGAAGGCAGCCACCTCACGGTACTGGGCCAACTCCAGCTTCATGGTACCAGCCACCTATAAAGTTAGGAAAATATGAAATGAGAGAGAACCTAAGATTTTAGCCCTGCGGCTGAATTATATGCAATTCTTAAATACATTTAAAAAGGAGGTCAGCCAGATGTTACCTGCTTCATGGCTCTAGTCTGGGCAGCAGAGCCTACTCTGGACACAGACAGACCCACATTGATAGCTGGGCGGATACCCTTGTAGAACAGCTCAGTCTCCAGGAAGATCTAAAGGGGAGGGGGGGGGGGGGGACGACATGGAGAAGTCAGAGGTGCAATACAAAACATGAACAGATAAACATCAGCTCCGAACACTTTTCAAACAAACCTGTCCGTCTGTGATGGAAATGACGTTGGTGGGGATGTAGGCGGACACGTCACCGGCCTGAGTCTCAATGACAGGCAAGGCGGTGAGGGAGCCACCACCGAAATTGTCGTTCATCTTGGCAGCTCTCTCCAGCAGACGGGAGTGCAGGTAGAACACGTCACCTGGGTAGGCCTCACGACCAGGGGGACGGCGGAGCAGCAGGGACATCTGACGGTAGGCAACAGCCTGTGGGAGAAAGAAAATTATTCAATTTGAGAATAATAGTGACATTTGCACAACATGCTAAACTTTAGTGATGAATAAAGTTTGCAGATTCATCTGCAAATCCTCACCTGTTTGGACAGATCATCATAGATGATCAGGGCATGCTTGCCGTTGTCTCTGAAGTACTCTCCCATGGAGCAGCCAGAGTATGGAGCCAGGTACTGCAGCGGAGCAGCATCAGAGGCAGTGGCAGAGACCACGATTGTGTACTTCATGGCATCGGCATCAGTCAGCCTCTTCACCAGCTGAGCCACAGTAGACCTCTTCTGTCCAATGGCAACATAGATGCAGTACAGCTTCTTCTTCTCATCAGTTCCGTCATTGAAGCGTTTCTGGTTGATGATTGTGTCGATGGCAATGGCAGTTTTGCTGGAATGTGGAATATTGAACTTAAAAAAAATATTCCACTCATCTACAGCTCTCCTATCAAGACCAAACCACTGTTAAAACCCATCTGTGAATTTTGATAATTACCCAGTCTGTCTGTCACCAATGATCAGCTCACGCTGGCCTCTGCCAATGGGCACCAGACTGTCCACAGCCTTGATTCCAGTCTGCATGGGCTCCCTCACAGAGATACGGGGGATGATACCTGGGGCCTTCAGACCCACACGCCTACGGACCTTGGAGCCCAAAGGACCCTGAGAGAGTGAGAGAGAATGTCAATTTAAGGCAAACTTCAACATCAAAATGGTTGCAAGTACTATAATGGTGGGAAATAAAAGTCATGTTGCGATGACTGCCATTTAATTACTGAACTAGTCATGAATAGGTAGAAAAACAAAAAGAACCAAACCAAAAAAAAAAAACCAAAAAAAACCAAAAAACAGGCAAGATTTCGTCACTGGTCCAAATAACTCGTGGATGCTTACTAATGAGAGACAAGGTCATTTATGAAAACTTAAACTGGCAATTTTGCTGATTAATAGGTAATCTAGCTGCTCTACAAGATAATGTCTGGTGATGAGTTCTTTAAAAAGGCCCTAGTTAATCAACTTGAATGTCACAATCCAAAACAAAAAATTATTTTTTAAAGGTTTTTAAATTACCTTCCCATCGATGGCATTTCCCAGAGCATCCACTACACGGCCAAGCAGCTCCTCTCCCACAGGAACATCCACAATGGCACCGGTCCTCTTCACGATGTCGCCCTCCTTGATCAGCTTGTCATTACCGAACACCACAACACCAACGTTGTCAGGCTCCAAGTTCAGAGACATGCCCTGGAGGATAATAAATATGGTTTCTTGAAAAAACATAACATCACTGAATTGAAACTGTTAGCATTTTTTAGTTTCACAATTTTGTTCAACAAGACAAACCCACGGTGCGCTCCTCTTTAACCATTTTTATATATAAAAGATATGCAGGTTGGAGAGAAACCTTGTGCCTTTGGACTTACTTTCAGGCCAGAGGAAAATTCCACCATCTCTTCTGCCTGGACATTCCTCAGTCCATACACTCTGGCAATACCGTCACCAATAGACAGCACACGCCCTGTCTCCTCCAGGTCTGCAGAGGTGTCAGCTCCCAGGATCTTCTCCTCCAGGATGGAGGACACCTCAGCTGTGCCTGTGAAAGACAAAATGTCAAAAAATAAATACAACTGGATGTTAAAATCACTGGAAAAGCTTTCCCCAATAATCTATTGAAACACTTAGAAGTAGAGGAACAGTTGAGAAACAGTTGTGAAACCTTCATGGTTTTATGCTGCAAAAAGGATTAATTTTGTTACCTCAATGTGCTTTTACCAAAAAAACAAACAAAAAAACAAACAAAACAAAACCAAAGAATGAAAATATGCATGGTTTAAATTTCTAAATGACATAATTAGAATGAAGAGTTATGTGGGTCTCAAACACCAAACACTGATGATGCCTTTTCTAAGATAAGGTGTTCTTAGACGTACACACAGGGATTACACAGCAGTTTCACCGGCATAGCAGAACCAATTATTTTAATAAGTCGCCTTTATGAGATGCCCTGCATTGTACAGGATGAAGTTTCTGGTCTGTTGTTTTTGACTTTCTCACCCGTCTTCTGCAGCCATGGTCTGTGTGTGTGGAGGTGGTTGACCCCAACGCAGGCGGCCGGAATAGTCTTTGACACCTGGATTCAATAACAAGCACTTAATTAAAAGTTGAGCGCAAATGAAAGTTAAGAGACATTTAAATAAGGATTACAACTGCGCTTCTTGCAGTGAGGCAAATGTAAGTTTGTGCAGCGGAGAGGAGTTGCGCTGTCAGGCTTTCTGACCTTCAAAGCGTGGCTGAATGAGCTGTTAGCTGACAGCTAGCATTAGCTTGAGTGCTACATTTAGTGCTACAGGACGAAATCAGTCACTTCACAAGGGCAACATTAAAAAAAAAACACGATTAAACATCCAATTTCAAGACTTTTAGCATCGATTGTTAACTAGGACTTATTAGAAGGGTATTCGTAAGCCGGTGACAGGTTAGCTAGCGGCCTGCGGCATTAACGTTACCCTTCACGCCCATAAATGCTCGCACGGATATTAAATAAACTTACTGCAATATTCTTAATAAATGCAACTTGCTTGGTTAAAGTACTTACGAATCCAGCCCTTCTAGGCAGGGTTCTGGCCAAAGCTGCTGCAACTCTAACGGATAGCATTTTCTCGGGTTGCTAATGACCTGTCCTCAACTGTTAGCAGCTCCGACCTGCCTGTGAGTGAATGTAATGGCTGAATGAACTCTTCTTCTATTAATGCGACTCTGGTCCTGGTTCCCACTTTAATACTCATCGGTGCCCCCTACTGACGCGGAAATTATACGTTACACAAAATAAAAACGTTATTTTGTGCAAACCAACTTAACTTAAATGAAAATGGCAAAAAGAAAAAAAAAAGATGTACAACTGTGGGTGCTTTGCACCAACTGTGCCAACATAAAATATAAATAGTAGACAGCAGGAATAAATAGTAAACAGGAGAAATATAAACAAGTAAGAGGGACGTATAAAAAACAAGAGAAATATAAAGCATAACAGCAAGGCACAACTAACAAAACAGACTGGGATTTGGTACATTGCTGTTCTGAATTTAGTGCATTTATATGCATATATATTTTCGATGCATGTGAAGATAATCCTCTCTTTTAATTTAATGCCTTTAAACAACCAGTCAAAAGCAGTTCCCAGTATAATAGTAGATAATGCTTTACTTTAGTTGATCTTTGGTTCTACCACATCCCAAAAGTGTTCTAGTGGAGTTAGATCTGGTGAATGTGGAGACCATTTGAGTACAATGAAAGCTCCTGTTGATAACAGCCATCAGAAGAACTTCTATTCTCCAAGTTTGGTTCTAAAAGAGGTTATGTGAGTTACTGTTGCCTTCCTATAATCTCAAAGCAGCCAGAACATAGTCCCCTGGCCTCTAAAATCAACAAGGCATCCCATAACGTCTGCAGTTTGTAAAATGCTCATACCAACTCATCTGGTACCAGCAACCACGCCGCTTTCACAGTCACTTATATTCGCTTTCTCCCCCATTCTGATGCTCTATTTGAACTTCAGCAGGTCAGTGCCTTGAGCTGGTGCCATGTGATTGGCTGATTATTTACATTAACAGGGAACTAAACAAAACCAAACAAATCGGCCAGTGAGTATATTGAAGTGCACGCGATAACATTCTTATACGTACTTATTTATCTTATCTATTAACTTGCTTTTCCGAGTTGAGGGTACCTTAGTGTGATTTTTTTTTTTTGCTAACAGGGAAATCATATTTTTGATTATTTCCTACTCTCTGCGAATGCTTAAGAAAAGAGCAATTGCGTTGAATCATGGGAAATGTAGGCCTTAGCGCATCTAGCCAGGACATCTTTGCCTCTAATGCGTTTATTTTTATATGTATATTCTACCATTTCTTTCAAATGGGTTTCCAGTGAGTCTGCTAATGTTGCGGACATACATTAATAAACAACAGTGGTCCTTAAGTGAAGATTTCATTATTTAAAGTCAAGACTACAAGTTACTTCAATGTGCCGTTTGCGTTTTTAAGCCTGTTAATGTGTTTACATTGTTTCTATAAAGATTAACTTTGCAAGGTCGGATAGGTTAACCCAGAGATAGCTGCAGCTTTGGCATGTAGCGCTGCAACATCGCCCTCTTTTGCTCCGTAGAACAAATGACATGTCTGCTTTTGTCAACGACAACCAGGCGAGTCAGACAGTCATTTGGTTTGGTTCGCCTGTAGTGTTTAGCCAAGCCAGCCAGCCAGCAACAACCAGCCGCCTGAATGTAGATCCGCATGGGCTACTACCACTGTATATCTCCAAATAACCCAGCGGAATCATAAAATAAGGATCCCAGGATGGTGTTAGTGCATGTCGGATATCTGGTTCTTCCTGTATTCGGCTCAGTAAGAAACAGAGGTACGGTATTAATATTCATATCGATCCAAAACATGTGCCCTGTTTATCTTAATATTCACTGCAGCTGTTGGGCTAGCTAGCTCGAGCTCCGCCGTTGGGTTAGCTCCCGTTAGCTAGCATGAAATTAATGGTCAAATTGCTTGCCGACGCGATAACGCTTTATATTCGCATCCGTCGCAGATTAATATAAGGCACCGAATTATAAGGTTTGCTAGGTGCAAATACAGCGAATTAAAAATTAACTTCGTTGCTACAGATAAGCTAACTGGCTTCTTGGGCTCAGACTATTTCTTGAAACATTTCTCACAAAGGCTTGCACATGCACGCGACATGCGGCCAAAATGCCTCATGTAAAAAAAAAGAAAAAGAAACACATTCCTACATAAAAAGACGTCTTTATTAACGTGCGGTGCATTTTTATTTGTGAGGTTTTAAGAAAAATATTCAACGTTTCCTCGAAACTACCGTGTTTGTGCTGTAAAGAAAAATACCGCAAAATAGACGTAGCCTGTCCAGCCAGTCAGCTTATCTGTGCACGGATGATGTCATTTGAAGATCATCTGCTTCTGCTAACGCTCGCCGTTTTTTCCACCGTGATTCCAGTAGTTATTACAATTATTACCCCTCTCAATTGGCCAGTGTGCTAATCGATAAGTGGCCAGTCGACCGGGAGCCTTTAATTCCGGGCTATCAGTGTATCCGTCGCCCTTTTCTCTCATTTGCTAATTGGCAATTCAGCAGCTGTTTGTTTGAAGCTGCCGAATTGCAAAAAGAAAAAGAATCGAGTGTGGGGTATCAGTTAAACAATGATAAAGCTACAGTGCAACATTAATTTCACAACAGTGGCATCAGTGATTTTCATTGTGCTTTTATTTCTGTTCTTATTTCCCTGTTTCATAGTATGGAGGCTGGCTCTACATTCTGCATTTATCAGATCTTTGTCGTCCCCCCCCATTGTGTAGCTAATGATCATCTGCTGCTGTGTGGTGTGGCGTGGCCTCTGCCTGTTCTCTGCATTTAGCTGTATTGTGAATCCCTTCTTCATTTCCTCTTTCCATCAGAAGACGACATTGGTATTAAAAAAAGCACCCCCCCCTTTCCCAAGATGTACTCAGCCATAGACTTTCCATGTTAAACAGACTAAAACAATATCTAACACCTAGGACAGAGCACCTTTTTTTTTGGTCTTTTTTTCTGTCAAATTGCTGTAGCACTGAGTAAACATTTTTAGCTCTTTTCTAGATCAGTTGAATGTCATTGTGTACCTCCCATCCAGTCTTGATAGACAACATGCTGTAAATTCCTGTAAAGTGGATACATTTTGCATGATCTCAAATACTGCACTGCATTGTTGAACACCAGAATTTGGCTCATCTTTTTCTTCTCTTCACACAAGGTGCAATGTACATGATTAAAGTGACCTGCGATTGAAAAAACAACAACAAATAAATAAATTAAAGCATGCAAATTGGGACCACGCGCATGCCATTTTTTACTGTTAAAAACGTAACATTTAAATCAGTGGCGATGTCACTTGAAATGACTGAAGGTACACTGCACCTCCACACAACAACCTGCCATAACTGTCTCCATTTTTTTTGTGTAATCCTTTTGTTCCCTTTTTGCAAATTTCAAGCTTTGAATCACACTGAATTGTCAGGGCCTGTTTTGCCCTTTTACAGGCATCTGAAACTCTAAACGTTTAAGTAGGAAAACATGCTCACTGGTGGTTCATCACTTCTCAATTTACCCCACTAACATAAGACCAAAATGCTATCCATTTCACAGGGATGCCTATTTTTCCTGCACTGCTAAAGAGATCCTCTATTAGTAATAACGTCTTTATTGTTTGGTTGTGGTTTCTCTTTACCTTTTGTTCTGGTAATAGTACTTTCAATGCATGGTCACATTTATGATTCATAATTTTTTGTTTATGTTTTTTCTACATTTGACTAGTGAAAAATCCAATGTAATCTTTCTGTAGAAAAGATGTACCCTGCTGTACTGAAATCATGTGCTGTAGCCAACACGTCTGCTCATTGGATGCCGCTTTTGTTCTTTTTAACCCTATATGGAGCATGGTGGGCCTTGCCTTCAGTGTATGTTGTTTATTTTTGTTGCATGGAGTTATACTATTATTACAAACAAACAAGAAAGAAAACACAAATTCCACAAATACTAATATTTTTCAATAAAGAATATAGTGTTTTTCCTAACCTTCAGTGTGCTTCTTGCTGATTTCCATTTATTGTCCTCCCTCTCCCTTGTCCCCTATCTGCTCCCCCCCTCCTTCCCCTCCCTCCACCCCTGTCCCCACCTACCCACCTCCTCTCCTGCTGTGACAAAGATAGACGATTTCCACGCTTACTTCATCGCAGGGCCCTGAATGAGTCTATCTGCTGTCATTCATGGTGATCGTTCTCACTGAGACGCTTGAAAACGCAGTGTGCTACTTGCAGTCTAGACTCTGAGCCTTTGACCCACGGCAGCAAGGTCATATCTTGTTTGCTCGGCTACGCTGACAAACTGTCAAGCTGAAATGCGAAATCTGGAAAGCTACACTGCTTGTCTTTCCTGTATTTAAAATTCAAACTGCAATTTTCAAGCGTGCTCCGAGTAAATGCAATGTAGACTTTGCCTTTTTCTTCATAAATTATTATTTATTTATTTTTTTGGAGAAATCAAGTGTTTACGAGCAAAGTAGTCTTGTCTTTTGCACTTCTATAAGAAACTGTTTAAAAGTCAGACATGGCAGAGCATAACTGTGGTTCCCTCTGGCAGAGATCCCCTCCCCCCAAAATCTGATCAAAGCTAAATTTAATTATTCTCAGTCCCACTATGATACAAAAAGGTCTCCTTAAGCTTAACCAGGGTATTAAAACCATATTGCAACACAGCACAAGCTAGCCTATGTCTTTATTTTCCACTCCTTGTCAAGTCTCGACAGCAGTCTGTTCGCTGCAGTTGCCAAATAGCTGTGGTTGGAGAGAGTTAAAAAAAGCATTCAAGCTATTTCCTGTCAACTCCTGAATGTTCATATGGGAGAAGAATAGCAGAGCTTTACTGGAAGTGTATAACACAGAGAGACAGCTGATTTCAGTAGAGCACATTTATAATGTGAATTTAATGTCTAGTTTAATTTTTTTATATGGAACAGGTTGTTCTTTACAGTTGTGTAGATAGAGACTTGGCAGAGAAACAGTTTAATGTATTTCTTACAGGCAGTGAGGTAATAATGGTTTACTTCTGAGTGCACTGACCTGCTGTCAGCTGCAGAATTTACAAGAACTGAGCTACGTCGATATCTGTATAGGGGTACGGTTCTTCTGTTCTGATCCAGTTCCTTTGTCTGTGAAGACGAGGAGTCGATCCAGGGGCTGGAAATGCATTTAAAGAAATGAACGCTTGCGCTTTGTGTGGAGCACCAAAAATGGTTTTCATTCTCATGGTACTTGTGGTAACCATCATTTTCCCACCCCCACAGAAGTATTTTTCACCCTAGGTAAGAGGTAGGGCTTCATTAACATGCTATATCTCACACACAGTGACACCACATTTCACCTACTATTAATTCCATCTAATTTCCCCCCTCAGGTACCTGACAACTTCTCCTTATACTCCACAGGATCCCATTTCAACCGGCAACAGCAACAACAGCAGCAGCAGCACAGCCATGCTACCTCTTGCCGGCACTTCCAGTTAGGTCCTCAGGCCCCGCTGCCCATGGACTTCCCCATGCCCCACCCAGGGCAGCCACAGTCAGGCATTAACCCCCACCTGGCCCCGCCCAGCCACCAACACGGCCCTCCGCTCCACTCGCCCCTCAACCCTTTGCCCGCTCCCCAGTTCCAGGACATCCCTGCCCCTCCCTTCCTACCTCAGGCATTACACCAGCAATACCTCCTCCAGCAGCAGATCCTCGAGGCCCAGCACCGACACATCCTGCCACCCTCCAGGTATCCACACAGCTTTATGGTACAAAAAAAAAAAATAGAGAGGAAAAGGCAAAATATTTAGTTTAAGCACCTCGTTGGTAACTACTGGAGTTGTGCAGTGACATTTTAAATTTAAATGATAAACTCTTATTTTCCAGGATGTTTTCAAATGCTTAGTTATTTGTCTTAGTAGACGGACCCCAGAGAGAGTTCCTCACCAACCCCACAGGCTGCGACCCGGCTATGAGTTTGCTCCCCCCCTCCATGTCCCTCCGCAGCCTGTGGTTCAGCAGCCCCGCTACCTGGCTGAGGGCACAGACTGGTAAGCAGTGCATCTCTCTCAACGACACATGCAGCGCCACAGATGCAAAAAGCTATTTTTTTTTAGAGGAAACATCAACAGACACCTTATTTCGTAATGTGAAAGCATTTTTTACCAGCTCATCTTTAGACCATTTAAGATAAATGTCAGTTACAGACACATTTTAGATTTGAATGAATGAGTTCAAGATGAAGAGTTGAAAGCAAATAAATTGCTGTTGTAGCACTCTTGTCAATGGGAGTCTTGAGTGAAATCACAGAGTACAAATTATAAAGACCAAAAAAACAAACACAAAATAATGACCCAAAAAATCAAGAAGTTCCCAAACTTCTTCTTAATGTATTTATTTAAGTAGCTCATCGCTTAATTTTAGCTATGTGTGCTACAGCCATTTGTCCACTTACCTTCTGCTGGTCCATGTGTATTGATTACTTTTATAATATCAACTCTCACACATTTGCTTGCATGATAACCAATTTTCATGTAATCAAATTTGCTGTATCTGACCTGGTATGGGGATATATATATTTATTAAAAATCATATTACAATCTCACCGTTTAAAAGATTTACCCATTGAGCAGCTACAGAAGTACACAAGTCTGCTGTTATCGAAGCTCAGTGTTCCAGAGACCTCGCAGTGTTCCACTGGCTGATTTGTTTTTTCCGTTTCTGTCCAGGGATCTAAGTGTGGACGCTGGGCTTCCCCCCCACCAGTATCACATCCACCCGCTGCCGCAGCACTATCAGCACTACTTGACCTCTCCTAGGATGCACCACTTCCCTAGAAACAATGCCTCAACGCAAGTGGTGAGCTCCCCTCTGCCTCCATACGATCAATCATGTTCATCTCGATGAACTCACGGCGACTCTTCTCCTGGTTTCTGAGATTAATCTCAACACCCAGGATGACCCGTGTCCCTATTGTTCTTTCTGATTTCTGCTGCAAAGCTGACGCTAGCTTCTTTTATCTGTCATCTCCTAGGTTGTCCATGAGATCAGAAACTACCCATATCCCCAGTTGCACTTGCTGGCTCTGCAGAGTCTCAACCCCTCCCGCCACGCATCTGCAGTTAGAGAGAGCTATGAGGTTTGTGCGCCTATTTCCTCGCTCTCCTCAGCAGACGCACCAGTCTACACTAATTTATCATTGTTTTCTCTGTGACCAATCTCTGGATAGGCTTGAGTGGTAGCTGATTTTCTTATTTCCAATTACCCAGGGCTCCAGATGCTTTAAATGGTCCAGCTGCCTTTAATCTCATGTCATTTGTTTTCATTTCAAGCAAGGTGTCCTGTTCCTTAAGGCACCGATTTGATTACATTACACACTTTAATATCTTTTTATTGTGCATATTTATTTCTGTTATTTTAGTGGCAAAATACAGAAAGGTCCTTCCTTTAAAGGGAACTGGGATTTTTTTCATAGGAGCTTCTGCAGCTGGAGGACAGACTGGGCAGCGTAAACCGTGGAGCGGTCCAAACCACCATTGAGAGATTCACTTTCCCCCACAAGTACAAAAAGGTAGGGCTGGAGACTCTTTAGCTCCTTGCTGGATTAAATATACCTTTTTGATGTGGTACGGTAAAGGGGAAGAACTGAAGATGCGAAAGAAAGGGATAGTGAAAGGCAGCAGCAGGTTGAAAGGATCAAAGAGCAAAGACGAGAGTGGAATGAAGGTCACGTCTGTCACTGTAGTTCAAAGGTCAAACTAATTTCCGTTGCCAGATTAGTGAGACAGGGCTGCAGTGTTCACAGTTCAAGGCGCTGGATGACTCATCTAGCTGTCTGCAGATATGTACGTGGAATGAATTTAAAGAAACGTCTATGCCAAATATGACCCAAATACTCAGAATGCAAGATTATTTGGTACATTTTGAGTGAGCAGGAGTAATTGAGTCATTTCCATCTTGATGTATATTTTTTTCTGGGAAGTATAATTCAAAGACTTTTTTTTATTCTGCCTGAGCTGACTCAGAGACCCCTGTGGCATAAACACTGCACACTTCAGTAATTAAAGTGTGTTTGCTCTTGTGTGGTTTTCTGTGCAGAGAATACCACAGGACCTGAAGATGTGTCTGGATGATGAGGAGCTTGACACCGATGAAAAATGCACCATATGTCTGTCGATGCTGGAGGATGGCGAGGATGTCAGGTACTGCTTTTTCTTTGGTTGGTTATGCAGATGTTGATGTAGGCTGCGCATAAAAGCGCTTTTTTTCCTAGAAGGATGTATTTGTTTCTCACATCCTGAAATAGTATCGCATTATCAGTCTGTTTGTCATTCAGTGAATGTACCACTGTGGTTCAGTTAGATGATTAGTGCCTGTAACAGCAGGTTGAGGTTGATTTGTGGATTTGGATGCATTGCATTGAATTTCAATTTACACATTCATGTCCCCCTCAGGAGGAATCTGAATTACTTTGCTCATCTCCTAACTAAACTTAAATGTGTCCCTTAACTTGGGTTCATGACTATATTAATACCTACAAAACTAATTGCATTACCCTCACAGACAACTGGGTTTAGTTACCCCTCTAAAAAACAATTTCTCCCAAAGCCTGTCAGGGTAAGTGCTTTTCAGGATGATTAGTCCTCAGAGGTTAATTTACTAATTTATCCTTAACCACATTTCTTTCCCATAAACTGGATATAAAGACACAGGATCTAAGCATTTCTAAACCCTAAACTGGTTCTGCCACCTAAGTTAAAAAGCTTCATGTCTTAAAATCCCATCACTGGATTTCTCCCAGCACCTCATCTTAAAAACCCTCCCCGCGGGCAGCATTAGCTTCTCGCAAAATCTTTTGATGTGTGTCCGGTGTTGTGATGTGTTCAGAAGTGACAGAGCATATTATTTTACCCACTGAATAGGCGGAAAAGAGGCAAGAATAAACAGAATCTTCTGCATTTAAGGGAGGGATGGAGCTGTGATATGGTAGTAGACTTTAATTCTATTCAAATAAAGCGTACACCCAACATCTCAGCTTGATTGTGTTACGTTTGCTCTGGTTTATGTTGAAAATCCTCCATTATTTATGACACAAGCAAATCTTGGCACGTGTGGTCCTAAAATACATATCGGGTGATTTGATATGAGGGAACACCTACAGTAAATATATCATTATTGTACCTCAAACACAGAATTCCTCCTTATGACGTACAACGTTCATTTTAAGCTTATTCCCCCCACATATGAAAGTCAAATGTGAGCTGCTTTCAGATGTCAAACGTGAATCATAGTCCAATGGCTGGATTTATTCTGGATACAAATGGATTCCTGGGTATGACAGACCTATGAATCATACGCATGTGGAAGCCTTAAAGACCGTGAAGTTTGTGTAACAAAGCAGAGCAACAACAGTTGTTTTATCCAGCTGTTAGTTGAGCTGAAGGATGAAGCTTGTTGTCACTTCTGGGTTCACATCAAGCAGGAAACCACCTTTAAATGTTTAATATTAAATATTATTCAACCTAAGAGTGTAAAAAAAGGTGTAAAGAGGAAAAAAAATCATACAAATGTCCATTTATAGTTTTGTTTTTGTTATTTGAGAAAATGGTGTGCTTGTATTGTCAAAAAGCTTTAGTTACTTTCACTCATTGGTGAAGAAAAACAGCAAATTCTCACCTTGACGAAGCAGCAGCTCTGTGTTTTTTGGTATTTTTTCTTTAACAATTAGTGAAATATCAAATTTAACTTTAACAGCTGTTGTAGACAGATGAAAAAAAACAACTTCATTCAGCTGCATAAGTAAATGCATTAGAAAACATTAGGAAATTCAGATTTTGTATGTAAATAATCTTGCAGTGTAATCACTTACTTTAAAAGCAAGTAATTGGCACACTGTGAAAAAACTTTCACTGCAATTGCTCTTTAACATCTTCTCAAGACGTGCTGATTATGTTGTGGTTGTAAAATAGAAAGCAGTGGTGTGCAATCAACATTTCTGTGAATGTTCTTTTTTCCAGGAAAAATGACTTCTGTCTAGATTTGGTGATCAATCAGCCACTTATACTGTAAACCTCTGGGATTATTACGCAGCTTGACATTTTGGAAGGACGCTTTTACGCTTGTTTTAAATTCCTGACCTTGTCTCTCCTGTCTCCTCAGGAGATTACCCTGCATGCATCTCTTCCACCAGGCGTGTGTGGACCAGTGGTTGGCCACCAGCAGGAAATGCCCCATCTGCAGAGTGGACATTGAGACTCAGCTGACCCCCGACAGTTGATAGCTCCTGTTGACTTCTGCAGCTATGGATCTTGGTCTTGTTAATTTTCCATTGCCCTCCCTCCAGGGGGAGAGGCTCTGCCAAACACCCCTCTTCCCCTCTGCATCACTCAACGAGCCTGCCTTCTGAGACAGCTGTGACAGAGGGATCAACAAAGCACACTCACCTACAACGCAACGAGGGACGGGGGGGTTGATGCACAGATAGGCGCCTGGACTGAGGTTCGGTTTAATGGACTTGGCTGGATGTTAAAGGTAGGAGTGGACGTGTATGGACAGATGTGCTGAGGCTTCACACAGTTCTGTCAGATTGTGTACATTTCTCCATACAGCCGCCAAGAGAAAGGGTACTCTGACGACCAACCTCCCCAGCTCAGTGTGGTGTATCAAGGCCATTTCTCTGCCACTATAACCAAACCCTTTGCCCCATCCCTCTCCCCAGGCCTGTGAAAAATCCTTGAAGCTGCACTCTGCCCAAGCCCTCAGCACATCTGTACAGAACATTATCAAATGATTAGCATGAGGTTGTTTGGTGTGAACTCTTGTAGCTGAACGCTTGTGGTGTAATGGAGTATAGTACTGAATAAGTATTTACAGAGTAACAGTGTTGTGTAGCAAGCAAAAGCCTTTTGAGAAATATGTTTGTGAAAAATAAAACCTACAGAGAGGGTGAATACAGCTCTAACAGTAAGAATATTCAGTGTGTTTAATCGTAGGCAACCAGAGAAAGAGCTAGTCATGTAAAAAGGCCAAAAATCCCTCTTTCTTGTCTAACATGGTTTTGGATTTACAGTTAGTAGATGCCATCAGAGTTGATGCTAAAAACGCTAACTGCAGGCATGGCTTCCAGTGATCTGTGTAGTGTCGTAGTCGGGCCTCTATAATCTAGAGCAGAGGCCTCTGATGTGCATGCTGTATGGCAGGCTTGGGCTGTGTCGTTAATATTGTGGAGCAGTAGAAACAGGGACTGTGTCTGTGCATGTGAACCGTATATTATGACTCTGATGATCCCACTCATTCATAGAGGAGGACAAGAATGCACCTGATACCCCCTTCCCCACTCCTTCCCCCGCACCCTTCCCCACTCATCCCGAGTAGACCAAAGTTGCCGTTAGACACTGATCACCGACCAGCTAAGCATTGCGCTCCTAACAGGACTCAAAGAGCTGCCGGTGGATCCGTGTCTAACAGCAACTCCTCTCTGTGGCCTCGCTCATGGTCATGGTCACGCTCGTGATCATGAGAGGCCGGCATGGGCTTGAGGATGCAGTGCCTGAGTCTTGCCATCAGAGTACCTGACATTTGTATTACCTATCACCAGAACCTTATTGCCTATCGAACAAGCACACGTGATTTCTATATCCAGTGAATGGCCTCTGTTGTGTATCGGCTCCTTTCATTTCAATCTGAGTTGCTCCCACTGTTTGATTTAAAAACAAAAAAAGAAGAAAAAAAAGACTGTTTCTGGTGTTACAGGGACAATACAAACTAGTTTGCCTGTGATATGTGCTAGAATGTGTATGACTGTCCCCACCCCCTCTCCCCCCATGGTCGTAGTGTATGGTATTGCTAGAACAACTGTGATACGTTCAGTGATAGAAGCTGTTTTTCTATATCATGCATGAACCATGTTGGCGTAGTTCACTTGAAGGAGGGTGAAAGGGAGAAAAAGCCATCCATTTGAAAAATACCAAACAATTGTTCTTAACATTAATTTTGTTTTAATTGTCTTTTTTTCCCTGCCATTTCGTTCTTTCTTTTTTATTACCTGTACACTTTTCTTTCTTCCTTCTTTTTCTTTTTGTTTTGCTCACATGCCAATCTGGACATGGTACTAATATGCCGAGTCCTTGTCCACTTTAACCATAGTGAAGAAAAAGCTGCAATGCTGCAAAAACATATTTATTGTTGTTCTAATGTAGCTTGTGTTTTGTAAATGCACTATAATATGGAGTTGCCTGATTTTTTTTTCTTTTTTTGTTTTGGTGGTGTGGGTTCTTCTTGTCCTAGAGTTTGTGTTCCAGTTCAGTTAAATATTTTCATGCTTCCTTGTGTATTATTGGAGGGTAACTTGACTGTTTGTGTTGCGTTTGTTTTTTTCGTTTGTTTTTTTTTTTTCCTTTCTTTTCGTATGAAACCTCCATCCAAAAAACTACAGATGGATGAAAATGGAGGTTTGCTAGTTCACATAGAATGCTGTGATTAAAGATGCCTTAAGTATTTAACAATCATTATTTATTACTAACTGTAGCTAGCTAGCTATCGTGGTGGAATATTTAATGTCTCTATCTCATAACTTTGCAATTTAATCAATATATTTATTTAAAATAACACAAAATATTAAAAAAAGAATACCTCATTATGCATTGGTCGGTGGGGATGCTTTTGCATGCCGTCTGTGTTTTCTTTTTTCGGAGGCGAGATAAAAAAAAAAAGAAACTTGTTGAAAAATCGACTGGGGTTGTTTCCCCCGACACATTTTTTCTAGCCAGCATGGTGCTGTTGATCTGGATTACATTCCATTCATATCATCTCTCGATTTTTCTTTTTTAATAAATGTTTTACTTTCTAGACATCATCCCTGCTTTGATGCAAAGCAGATGTCAGGGTGCAGCCCTTTTTTTTTGTTTTTTGTCTTAGCTCGCTTCTGTTGTCATAATCAGTCACATTTATTTTCGTTTTTCCACATTTTAAGTTGACCACAATATAAATCATATCTGGGTCTCAATTTAGTGCTTCTCTTTACGACCCACATTACAAGCTGTATTATTTGTTGCTGGCAGTTGCTTTGTGTGGGATTATGGAACGTATATCTAACATGCTAACTTGAGCCATTGATCTTATTGAGCAAACTTCTGGTGTACTGTGGTTATACAATATAGATGTTTTACACCTGGGTATAATAAGCTAACTACGTTTTCGGTGTGCATTTCTTATTAATACTCTACTAATCCTGCAAATTATTATAACATATATTGGATTGGAATGAAGCTGGCTGGTCTTACTATTATGATTTCATTTCGTGCTCTCACTGGCCTTACCCCGTGCCCTCCACAGTGTACCCCATAACTCCAGAGCGAACTGGACAGTAGCCATAGTATTAACTCAAGCTGATGAACCGGAATGAACAGTAGAACTTAAAGCACAAGCTTTTTAATGCATGTCCTTCTCAGGTTTTCCTATGTGTATGTGGGAGTAGCTCTGTAGATGTGTTTAATATGATGCTGTACCTTCTTGAATATTTCAGATGTTTCTTTGCTGCTGAAAAAATGTTGATTATTAACCTGCCAGTGAAAAAGGGAAGTGGCCATCTTTGTACAACACACTGCTGTTTTGCTGTAACCGCGCAATGTTTTATGATCTTGAGTATTTTATAGAAAAGTAGAAGTATGTATCAATAATATGAAAGCAATAGCTAAATCATAATGAAGAATAACATGATCAGTGAATATTGTGGAAAATCTTTAGATTCACTCTGGGTGGATTTTGTACTGTATTTATTACTAATGATGATGCAAAAAGTTGCATAGCTTAACCCAAACTGTTCTGTCTCTTTTTTATTTATTGTCTTGTATATGATCTTTTTGTATGTGTTTTTCAAATAAACTGCCTAAAATGCTGAGAACTAATCTGATCCGTGTGTCATTTGGAGTCATTTTAATTTAGAAAAAACATTTCATTTCATTTCACTGTAAGCTATCTGAATTACACGTGTTGGACAACATATCACAGACAGATCTGTAACAGCATACAGTGGGTCCACACATTTTGGAAAACGGCACAATCTTTCCAAACTTGCCTCTGTACACCACTGTATTGGATTTTAAATTAAGCAATCAAGATGTTATTAAACAGTGGAAGGTCTAGAATCAGGAATGCAGAGGAGAGGGAGTATCTGAAACAGGCTCTGTGTGGTGTGTGAGGTCTGGCTTGACAAAGGAGGATGCTAGGGATAGGGTGAGATGGAGGCAGACGAGCTGCTATGGCGACCCCCAAAGGGAGCAGCTAAAAGAAAAAGAAAAATCAGGACGATATTAAAGTGGAGGTTTTTTTTAGTTGACAAATATATTGCCCACTTGTTAAAGTATCTTCACTAATAAGACAAGCATGACCGATAAAGTCATGCCTTGGCTAGGTGTCCGTCATCTGTCCATCCACAGCTGACAAGATTCACTAATCCTCCTGGAGTATTGGTCAGATTTGATCACCTAGTGGATTTTCATCCATATTGTGCTCACGGTCAAGCTCGAGGTCACATTTATTGTTCTCACTGGATTTTCATCCTGATTAGTTTGTGCAATATAGCCACAATGACAAGGAAGCCTACTATATCGCTTTCTTTCTGTATTTCACGGATTACAATACCTTGTAAATTGTTATAGACAATAGTCACAGTAAGCCAGATGAGCTACTTATGACAATGAAGTTCTGTTTTTTGTATTTCTTATGCAATCCAAGATTACCTGAAATCTGAAAATCATAGATAATGTCCATGTGGTGATACACTTATTTAAAAATAACAATCAACATATAAAGAAATAACTGGGACACTGTAAAATGTTACTCTAATGATCACATTATGCGTGTGATTATGTGTATGTGTAGGTCTTTATCTAATAATAATAATGGATTGCATTTAGCGCTTTTCAAGGCACCCAAAGCGCTTTACAATTCCATTATTCATTCACTCTCAAATTCACACACTGGTGTAGGCAGCTACAGTTGTGGCCACAGCTGCCCTGCGGCAGACTGACAGAAGCGAGGCTGCCATATCACACCATCTGCCCCTCTGGGCAACACCAGTAGGCGGTAGGTGAAGTGTCTTGCCCAAGGACACAACGACCAGGACAGAGAGCCCGGAGAGAACCGGTGACCTTCCGGTTACAGATGCGCTTCCCAACCCCCAGCGCCATGGTCGCCCCTACTACTCCTACTCCTACTACTCCTCAACAGGTGGGCCAATCCAAACAAGACTGCACAAACATGGAATCTGTATGTTAAAAAAAGTTTTGTAATATTTATTATAAATTATGAATACATTGTTTTGAATTTGGTTTATATTATGTTTATTTCATCATCCCCCTACAAATGTTATATGTTCTCCTTTTGTCTTTGTTTCACGTGTCACGTTCAGTGTATCTCGTCCATACTTAACGGTCAACAAAATTTGATCTGTGATGTAATGAAGCATCACTGTGTATTAGTTCTGGTGGATTATGCAACGTGATATCCCGAAGCAGTGCCACTGTGCACTATTTCTAAGAGTGCAGCGCAGGCGCTGTTTCAGGTCGTCTCCTGATTTGGCATCCCGAAAGAGATACTGACTGACTGGTAGGTACTGGTCTGTTTGGACCAGCATCCACTACCTTCAGACTGCTTCTCTGGTGACTCTGGTGAAGGAGACAGATGAGTTAGGACCAGAGATGCCAAATTCCACCATTCCATCCTCCATTCATTGTGATAACCATCTCACACAGGCCCAGAGAGCCTGTGTTGCTGCATTGCAACAGCATTTTGTAGATGTGTTCTCCCTCCTGCCCAGCCATACCAATCTCATAGAGCACCATTTTGAAATATGCCCAGGCGTGATGGTGCGTTCATGGCCCTGCAGGTTTCCTAAACATAAAAGGCTAATTGTTCAGAGGGAAATGGCTGAAATGCTAAAGCTTGGAGTTCACTAGCTGGGACCACATCCTCGTTAATGATGGGCGATGAGGGATGAGGAAGTGTGAACTGGTGCTGCGGTTTGGGGAAGGCCTCGAAGGGGACTGGCGAAGGCTCTCGAGGAGGAGAAGGGAGGGGAAAATTTTGGGGGGGGGCATGGGGCATGAAAATGAGAACAGCAGGTATTGGAGAGGGGGGCTTTTATAGCCTGAGGCGTGAAGGAAGAGTGGTCCTGCTCCTGAAATTCAGATGATATCTCTACTAATAGAAGAGTCATACAGTGGGTGGTATAGCCCCGTGGTCCTTGTGGTGAAGAAAGATAGGTCTATACAGTTCTGCATTGACTACCGCAAGGTGAATGAGGTGTCACAGTTTGATGCCTACCCCATGTCCCGGGTTGATGAGTTCCTGAACTGGTTAGGCATTGCTCAGTTTTTCACAACTCTGGATTTAACCAAGGGCTACTGGCAGATTCCCAGGAAAAAGCATCCTTGTGTACTCCTTACAGGTTGTACCAATTTGTCACACTTCCTTCTTTGGAGCTCCAGCCATTTTCCAACTCCTCATGGACTGGGTGCCGCATCCGCAGGCTGCATATGCTGCCGCCTACCCAGATGTCACTGTGGCTGGCATCATCCACAGTGACACCTGGGCGGAGCATGTGCAGTGGGTGGCCACGGTCCTGGAGTCCCTGAGGCACGTGTGGCTCACGGCCAGAAGAAGTGTACGGTTGGACGGAGGGAGGTACAGTATTTGGGGTACCGCTTGGGAGGCGGGCCGGTGCGCCCTCAGGTGTAAAAAACAGCAGCCATTGCATGCTTGCTACAGCACAGTTGAAAAGGAGTGCTTGGTAATCTGCTGGGTGGTTGACTCTCTTCATTTTTACCTCCTGAGCTGCCCTTTCATCCTCTGTTCGGATCACGCTCCGCTACAGTGGCTCCATCACATGCAGGATGCCAATGCCCGAATCACCTGTTGGTGTCTGACCTTACAGCCTTTTAAGTTACAGGTGATCCATAGACTGGGGGCGCAGATGGTCGTGAAGTAAAATGTCTTGGTCGAAACATCTGATATATTCTCTATGTTCTGTTGTGAATGAAATATGGGTTCATGAGATTTGGAAATGATTGCATTCGTTTTTTTATTTACATGTTAAACAGCATTCCGCGTTTTTTTTTTTGAGTTGTCTTTGTTTTTGCTGCTACGATTGGCTATTCGCCTTCCCTGATCCCTGTGTAATACTACCCATCATTCTACAAAAGGGTTTTTAAATTTATGCATAATGAATATTTTAACCCCTGTTGGAGTGCAATGCCCATATATTATGCTTAAGCAAATGAATTTATTTTTGCTGAACTGTTTTCCAGCTTTGCCTTTATCCCTCAAGTGATTGGCATTGGTATGAAACCTTTCAGTGAGACGTGAGGAAAAGTAAAATGAAGGTAAATATTTGTTGTGGTGAGCTGGGTAATATTCAGTTCTGTTTATTTGTGCGAGATGGAAGCAAATGGCTTTTTCTGAAGAGTGACAGCCTAAACAGTTGGCACAAACTTAAAAAAAAAACAAAACAAACAAAAACAAAAAACTGGCTTTATCCTGAAAAAGTTGAAATGCATTTATATTCAGATGGATTAACTCTAACTTTTCCGTGCAATGTTTCTCTTACAATTGGTAAAAACCCCCAACAAAACAAATGAGTCAAACAGGAAAAAGCAAATGCTCACCCACTCTTTCTTTCTAGCATTATTCTAATATCTGGGATTGAGCACTCGCTGAATTTGTCCATCAGCTTTAGCAGTGTGCAACCACTTTCCACAGTGGAAGATTGTTGTGACTGAATTGGCTGTGTTGGTCACCTCAATACACTCTAAATACCACCCACTGTTGGGGCTAGTGCCGTCGTGCTCCACTTTGACCCTCAGCAATTCCCCAAGGTCCAGCATCTCCAGAACGAAGCGGTCTGTCCGCCCTCGCTCGAAAAGGTTGCGAAACTTCTGCCGTAGGTGACGCTTGCCTGAGTCACCATTGACGCCATACATGGTGATAAAAACATTTGCATCTGTGCCGGCCGCTTTGACGTCCCCGGTGATGACGATGATTTCATACTTGACAGGGACCAGGTTGCGGACTTTGCTTGCAAAGCTCTCGATGGATTTATAGCACTCGAATGTCTGGAACTGGTCTTTTTTGGCTGCCAGGGGAATTTGTGCATCACAGTGGAAGAAATACCTAACCACAAGAGGATGCATTGATTCAGCACCATCAGTTTTATATAACATAATGCATGTTGTGAGAGTCTACTCACTTGTTTCCCAGCTCCTTTTCTGTCACCACCACCTCCATAACATGCCAGAAAGCCTCATTCTTCACCTTCTTGCCGTCTTTTGTGATGTGGCCAACGCAGATGCTAGCGATTTCCCCCACGTGCTTCGACGAGAACTCAAACGTGTCAGTGGCACCGCTGTGGAAGGGTGCAAGAGAAGTTTGTGTAGGGTTTTGATTTTAAACTGTTAAATTTTGTGGTCTGCCTGAGAGGTTCTGTTTCACCTCATGGGATTATCTCTCCTGAGAGTAAAGAGAAAATGAAGCTACAAGATAAAAGGGGGTAGAAAAAAATGTGTAAAAGAGGGCGATTATGTAAGACCACATTAGAGGGTTTTACCATGAGTCGTGAACCCTGGACTCTCTGAAGACCTACCTTAAGAACTTCTTTTTCTTATTCTCCAGAACAAACTCCTTGGAACGGGCTTTCCTTCCTTCCAGCAGGATCCAGACATTTTCCGTTGTGGAGGCGTCATCTGCGTTAGCAGTTGTTGTGGCAATTTCATATTCTGTGGCCATGCACAGAGACACAAATTGCTGCATTATTTTACAAGTGACAAATGGTTGTAATTTACTGCAAGTGATTCATCTCAGATAATTACACAACCCATGATTATGCCTACAGACTCTCAGGATTACTAACTTGTTTTGTCACTGAGGTCTACAAAATCATTGTTGGCACAAGCCAGTTCCCTCATAATCTGCCCGTCATCTTCGTTTTTTGCCAACCAGCGGTCACAGGGGAACCTGAAGGTGTTGTCCAGGGCCTCATCTTTCACATCAAGGTACTCCAGGTGCCATCCAGGAGCAGGGCCTGTTTACAGTAAGAGCAACAGTCAATGGTGAATTTATTCCATCTGTGCACAAATGTTATCTCAACCACTGATCTAAATTTTCCTGTTCCATTGTTTAACAAAAAAAAGGTAAAGTATATATAGTATAAAGTTTCTTGAGATGACTACTATTGTGAACAGGTACTTTATAAATAAAATAGATTTGAAGTAAACAAGCTAACATTAACACTGTGCTGTACATCCACTCTTGCAGTATCTAAGCAAGATTCTGTTATTCCATCTTCCAAGTATCCTTGTAAGACATTTTGTCAGCTTTTTTAGTCAAAAAGTTGAAAATAAAAAAAAGTACTTTGCTTCATTGCTTATACACAGCTCTTTTAAGGCCCTGCTGTGGCATTTCAATTGGGTTGATATACAGTGGCTTGCAAAAGTATTCGGCCCCCTTGAACTTTCCCACATTTTGTCACATTACAGCCACAAACATGAATCAATTTTATTGGAATTCCACGTGAAAGACCGATATAAAGTGGTGTACACGTGAGAAGTGGAATGAAAATCATACATGATTCCAAACATTTTTTACAAATAAATAACTGCAAAGTGGGGTGTGCATAATTATTCAGCCCCCTGAGTCAATACTTTGTAGAACCACCTTTTGCTGGAATTACAGCTGCCAGTCTGGGGTATGTCTCTACCAGCTTTGCACATGTAGAGATTCTACAAAACAGCTCCAGCTCAGTCAGATTAGATGGACAGCGTTTGTGAACAGCAGTTTTCAGATCTTGCCACAGATTCTTGATTGGATTTCGATCTGGACTTTGACTGGGCCATTCTAACACATGGATATGTTTTGTTTTAAACCATTCCATTGTTGCCCTGGCTTTATGTTCAGGGTCGTTGTCCTGCTGGAAGGTGAAATCCTGGAGTCAATCGACAAGCGATTGTCCAGTTTCGATGCGAGGCTGTCCCTGGTGGAGATCTTACACCGGGAATTTAAATCTCTGAGAGAATCCCTGGAATTCAGCCAGCGGCAGGTGGAAACGCTTGCCGCTGAAAATGCCACGCTACGGGAGTCGGTTAAATCTCTCACCGATAACGTGACCCAGCTAAACATTGAAAATAAAAAAATAAAAGAGTCCGTTATCGATCTACAAGCCCGTAGCATGAGAGATAATCTTGTGTTTTCTGGTATTCCAGAAACTGCCGGAGAGGACGCAGAGGCAACGGTGAAAAGCTTCATTAAAATCCACCTGAAGCTGCCGGAGGACACCGTAAAGAACATCGACTTCGATAGAGTACATCGCTTGGGGGCGCGCGGTCGCGGACCGGGAGACCACGGCCTATTGTGGCCAAATTCAGTCAATTCAAACAGAAGGAACAGGTGAAGAGTCGCGGCAGAGAGCTGAAAGGAACGGACTTCAGCGTGAACGACCAGTTCCCCAAAGAGATCCTGGAACGACGCAAGGTCCTGTTCCCAGTTCGACGTAGCTTTATCCAGAAAGGCTCCCGTGCTGTCATCGCTGTGGACCGGCTCTACGTGGACGGACAGCTGTACCGCGACCCCGGCACCACACCGTGGTTATACTGACTGCACTCCAGATAAGAACCCGCTACACTCTTTTCTTATTCATTCACACTTTCTCCTTTAAAATGTGTTTAACCTAGTAATATCAGTAGGATGTCATAGCAGATATAACACCGTCACCCTCCGTCATTGCTTTAATTGGAATGTTTCCGTTTCGTTTCCTTTTTTTGTTGTCGCTCACAGTTCATGTGGTTTCTTTCTTTCTCTTGTCTTTCACTGCTGTGGTCACCTACTTCCCCACTCACCTACAAACAACACCCTCTATTTCTCCATATTTTCACAACACGATCACGCAAACACATCAGCTCAACGGCAGCACATTCACAACAGCCTCACAGCACGCACAGACTTGCAGGACACATAAGCAAGCCACGCTTGTTCATATTAGTGAATATTCACACACATAGTCAGACTTATGGAGTCTCTCACCACACTTCTTTTTCTCTTTCTATTTACAAACAAGGGATGTTCCATATTCTCTCCACCTGTCTAAACGAAACACCCAGCATACATCATTAAACATACACGCACAATTAAGGGCATGCTGAGGTTTGTCACATGGAATGTAAATGGAGCTGGCACCAGAGGAAAGAGGTTAAAAATATTTAACCAGCTTAAAAAACTACAGGCAGATGTTGTTTTATTACAAGAAACTCACAAACCTGTCACAGGTTTAAATGAACTTAAAACACCTGAGTTTCCTAACGTGTTTGCAGCCGGTTATAATTCTAGACAACGGGGAGTAGCAATTTTAATACATAAAAATGTTAATTTTACAGTACTCGATACAGTTATAGATCCAGAGGGTAGATTTCTAATTATTAAACTATCAATATTGAACAAAAAACTATGTATTGTTAGTATATATGGTCCAAATGTTGATGAACCCTCATTCTTCCACGGTTTTTTTAGTGCACTCTCTGAACACCTTGATTGCACACTCATTCTTGGCGGTGACCTCAACCTTGGACTAAATGAAGAAATGGATAGGCTCAACACAACAGGAACTCAGCGTAATTGGCAGTCCACAAATATAATCAAACAGTATATGAACGACTTTGGTCTTTGCGATGCATGGCGCTCTCTTCACCCCACCAGTAAGGAATATACTTTTTTCTCGCATGTTCATCACTCTTACTCTCGTCTGGATTATTTTTTGGTCAGCAGCTCACTGCTGTGTGACATTTCAGACACTGAGATTCATCCTATAGCTGTCAGCGATCATGCTCCTGTATCTTTAACACTAATGCACAAGAATAATACTACGCCAAGTAAAAACTGGAGATTTAATATATCACTACTTAAAGATGAAGACTTTATTAAATACTTTAAAAAGGAATGGACTTCATATTTAGACTTTAATGACACTCCCGGAATATCTGCTTCTGTTCTATGGGAAGCAGGGAAAGCTGTGATGAGAGGTAAAATAATTTCTTTCTCATCACACAAAAAGAAAGAAGAAAACAAAAATATTCAGGAATTAGAAAAAAACATCAAATCACTAGAAGAAGCCTACGCGTCCCACCAAGATCAGGAAACATTGAACAAAATATGCAAAACAAAACTAGAATTAAATGAAACTATTAATAAAAAAACACAATTCCTTATACAAAGACTTCGCTTGCAGAATTTTGAACACAGTAACAAATCAGGTCGATTTCTAGCTAACCAGCTAAAAATAAATAAAGAAAAAACAACTATATGTGCTGCTAAAGATTTATCGGGGAACACAATATATGATCCTGGAAGAATAAACAACATTTTTAGGGATTTCTATGAAACTTTATACTCACCACAAATAAACCCATCTAAAAATGAAATTGATCTGTTTCTTGACAACGTAACTCTTCCAAAATTACTAGACAGTCAAGCAATGGAATTGGATTCGCCACTGACGCCAAGTGAACTCCAGGAAGCCCTGATAAGTATGCCCAATAATAAGGCTCCAGGTCCAGACGGCTTCCCTGCAGAATTCTACAAAGAATTCTGGACAATTTTGGCACCAGTATTCCACAGCATGTTGCAGGAAATCGAGGAAAAGGGCAGACTACCACCAAATATGAATTCTGCCAACATTAGTCTCCTGCTAAAACCAGGCAAAGACCCTTTATTTCCCTCAAGCTATCGTCCAATTTCTCTTTTAAATGTAGACCTTAAAATAATCTGCAAAGCTCTCTCAAAGAGATTAGAGAAAATGACCCCCCTCTTAATTCATCCTGACCAAACTGGTTTCATAAAAGGTCGGCACTCCTCAACAAACACTCGTAGATTACTTAATTTAATAGACTACTCATACGATAAAAACATCGAAGCCATAATACTATCTCTAGATGCAGAAAAAGCATTTGACAGAGTTAATTGGAAATTTTATTCGCAACTTTACACAAATTTGGTTTTGGAAACTCTTTCATAAACTGGATAAGAATATTATACAATTCCCCAACGGCTCGTATCAGAACAAATGACCAGACATCCTCCAGCTTCTGTCTCCTGAGGGCACCAGACAGGGATGCCCACTCTCCCCCTCACTTTTTGCAATTTTTATCGAACCTCTAGCAGCAGCATTTAGACAGGCTACAACAATTAAAGGCATAAAATGTAAGAACATAGAACATAAAATCAGTCTCTATGCGGATGATGTGTTGCTTTTCTGCAAAACACACAAACCAACCTCTCTGAGGTAATTACTTTAATAAACTGGTTTTCAAGAGTTTCAGATTATTCAATTAACTGGCCAAAATCTACAGTTCTCCCCATTAACTGCTCCTTCCATAATTCTTCCTCTGCCCCACTGCAATCCGGAAATATTAAATATTTAGGTATTAATATCTCTCCTAAGCTTTCAGACTTAACTAAACTAAACCACATCCCACTTCTAAAGAAAGTAGAAGGCGATCTGACTAGATGGAAATCTTTACCCATATCACTCATGGAAGGGTCTCCACTATAAAAATGATGATCTTGCCAAAAATAAATTACTTATTTTTGGTGATCCCTAACAAACCATCACAAGATTGGTTCAGATCTCTAGATTCATATATTTCCAAATTCCTTTGGAAAGATAAACCCCCGCGTATCAGCTTAAAAACGCTACAAAGAACCAAGGATAGAGGAGGATTAGATCTGCCTAATTTTCACCAATACTTCTTAGCCAACAGGCTTCAGTTCATCTCAGAATGGTTAAAACATACCTTCTTAGTTGAGCCCTGGCTAGATGTTGAACAGGCACTATGCAAGGATCTAGAGATTTCAGACCTACCATTTATTAGCTCAAACATCAAAAGACATGAATGCTTTAAAAGTATCAACATCAGCTTTTCTCTAACAGCATGGTGGGAGTTTCTAAAAATAACGGAGTCTTCATTAATCCCATGCAAACGTACACCTATCTGGAATAACCCTGACATATTACAAAACAATAATATGATTAATTTCCCAGAATGGAGTTGTAAAGGAATTAAATACTTAGAACATATATTAGAGGGAACAGAATTTATTCCATTTGACAGACTAGTTGAACAATATGGGATCAACAAGACAAGGTTTTTAGAATATCAACAAATTAAATCCATAGTAAAAAAGAAATTTAACCTCAGTCAAGTTGAATTACAAACACCACTAAGTGCAGCACATTTTCTTACTCTTAAATCCCCCAAATTATTATCTAAAATATACAGAACACTTTCTAAATTAGATGAATCAATATCCCTTCCTACTGCAAAGTGGGAAGCAGATTTATCAGTCAACCTAGATCAAACTTCTGGTCTCAGATTTGCTTAAAAACTTTTAAATTAATTAAAAATCCCAGTCTGCAATTAATACAATACAAAATACTTCATAGAGTGCACTATACAGGTCATCGGATGTTCAAGATGGGCTTTACATCTTCCAACAACTGCTCACACTGTCAAGGCAATACACCAGACAATTACATCCACGCTCTTTGGTTCTGTCCACCAGTGCAAAAGTTTTGGCGCGAGATATGTGAAGACTTATCAAAATGTCTGAAATGTAACATTCCAACCTCCCCCTTAGTGTGTCTACTGGGCAGCTTAGATAATGTCACTTCAGAAAAGAATATAGCCCATATGATCTTCACTGCCCTATGCATAGCCAAGAAAACAGTCCTCATGAACTGGAAAAATAAAAATAATCTTAATTCTAACCAATATAGAAATTATCTATTAGATTACATTAGTCTTGACACAGCCTCTGCCACCACATTAGATCAATTGCTCTGGGCCCCTTTTATCAGCTCCATCACCTAGTGGGGTGGGGGTCATAGTTTGGTCCCGCCTTCACTGTTGTGATTGGTGAGGGGTAGGGACAGGCTTAGGGCGTCGGGGGGTTCCCCGGAGGCATCTTCCTTGGGGGCTCAACCCGGGGTAGCGGTCACGTCCGGTTGAGGCTCTGTTGGCTCTCAGGTGACTGTTTCCTCGCGGCTGCGTGCAGCGGGGCTAGGGGAGGGTCTGTGCTGACGGACGCGGGTTACTGACCTGGCAACCTGGCTGCCCCTGGGTGGGTCCGGGATGGGCGTGAGGTTCTGGGGGCGCTCCGTCTCTGGGCTGGGGCCCGGGCTGGCCTCGGGGCTCGGGTCCTGGTTGGTGTGTTGCCGGGGTTGTGGGCGGGTGGGTGCATGGGGGCCCGGCCCTGGAGCAGGGTGCCGCCGGTGCATCGAGCCGCCTGGGGGGCTCTTCAACTGGTGGGGGGATGGTCACATCTGGCAGGAGCTTTCTTCTCTCAGGAACTCTCTGCAGGAGGGGGAGATACAGGAGAGGTGGAGGAAGATCTCAGCCTGGGCGTTTACCGTCTTATGTAGTCTGGAAGATGTGTGGTTGGTGGGTGGGTGCAGTTTTCTCTGTGGTGGGTTGGGTGGACTGTCCAGGGCTCTGTGGAGCCGGGGGGCGCTACTGCACTGGGCCCCGGTCTGATGGGCCTGGGCCCCCTTCCCTGGCGGGTCGCGGAGGGTGGGAGTGCCTACTGGGGTCAGCGGGGGAGCTGGCCCAGGGAGGGTTACCTGCCCTCCCTTCCTTCCCTCCCCATCTCCAGCTGCCTCCCTCTTCCGCTCCTCCACAACCACCCACACATGCAGGGCCTTGGAGTGGGGGTATGTCACCAGGGTGCAGAGGAGGCTACCCCCCCCCGTCCCCTTCTGGCTGCCTCTGCCTCAATTTTATCCCACAACTTAGACATTCACATTATTCACACTCTCATTACACATACATATAGGATCTTGGGGTGGGCACAATCACGGAGTCCAAATCACCATCAGGTGTATACCTCACCCTGACGTCGTTGCCCACCTCTCAATTTTAAATACACTTAGTCATTGAGGGTTAGCAGGAGGGACTATGCGCTTACCTGCTGCTCCTTGGCAGGTAGCTCCATGCCCTCCTGGGTTTTAATTGCACCTTAGAACACATATGCATCAACACTACAATGAGCGGGTGAAGGGAGGTTTGGAGTCTTCTCCCACCCCCATTCTCTGCGGCCTGCTGGAGCGGGAGGGCTAGTAGGAGGAGTTGGCCGTCCGACTGCGGTCTGGGGTGTGGGCCTCCCTGCTGCTGCGGAGTCGGGGTGGTCTGCCTCTCCCCACCGCAGGGAAAAGGGTAACACCACCTGGGTCTGGGTGCAATTCCCCCTCCAGGGGCAAGGGTACCTAGACCCGGTTTGTAGAGTACGCTTGGGGAGTGTGATTGTGTGTACAGCGTCTCTTTATGTCTGTCTCCACGTTGGTTGAGTGTGGAGTGAGTGCATATGAGAGCATGAGGGTGGGAATGGATGTTTGTGTCTGTGTGTGCCTGTATGTCTGTGTCTATATGTCAGGTTGGGTATCAGACGTCACCTCTCTGGGGACACCTCAGGCCCTCCAAGGTTTGGAGGCCTATCTCCACCCACCACCACTTCCCCTGCCGGTGGCGGACTCCCTCAGGTGTCGGTGTGTTGGTGGTTCTTTGTGTCTGGGGGTGGGCGTCCGGGTACACACCGGCTCACTCCTTGGCGGCCGCTTGTCGGGGCCTGGGGCCTGGGGCTCGCTCGGGCCCCTTTGGAGGTGGGGTGCCCCGGCCTCTCGGCCTAGGGCTCGGTCACTCAGGCGCAGCTGGGGCCGGCGGAGCTCACGGCGCGTCACTGCAACTCCCCCTGACTTCTGCTCCGCGGCTGCTGGGCGAGCCCTCATCTGGGACTCTCCTCAGCTCTTACTGGAACAGTGGCGCGGCTGCCCCTCTGTTGGTCTTCCATGGTCTCTTGTGTTCTGGGGGCCTCTGGATGTCTGGAGTTTTGATCTCCTCCATACCCGCTTCACACCCTGGAGGACGGGGCTGTGGCCCCCCCACACTCCCTAGCAGATCATTACATGGAGAAACCTTTGGAATGCAAGCATGCTGATCCACACAGGTATGCACACATGGGTATTCACAGACGCGGACTAAAGCTTTCCTGGCTGCTGCCTCAAAGCACACTGTGCGCTGTCTATCTTGCGTGCTGCACAATATCGTTTATTACTTAGTAAATACTGATATCTATGACTAGCTAGTTTATTGTGATGGTGCTTTGCTTTCTCTATTATTATGTTGCTCTTTGTTGTTTGCTGTCTCCTCTGTTTGTTTGTTTGTTTGTTTGTTTTTTTTCTCCATACAGGTGACCCAGGAGTTTTTTTTTTTTTTTGTCTCTCTTCCCCCCCTTCTCACCGTCTCTTCTCCCTTTGGTTTTCTTTCTTTCTCTCCCCCTCTCTCTCTCATTCATTCCCCCTGTCCTATTTATTATATAAAAAAAAATAAATAAATAAAAAAAAATGACAAAGGATGAACTGAAGCTCTGCCATCACGTAATGTCGCATACTGCTGTTTCTGATGTCATTTAAAAAAAAAAAAAAAAAAAAAAAAAAAAAAAAAAAAAAGGTGAACCTCCGCCCCAGTCTCAAGTCTTTTGCAGACTCCAAGAGGTTTTCTTCCAAGATTGTCCTGTTTTGGCTCCATCCATCTTCCCATCAACTCTGACCAGCTTCCCTGTCCCTGCTGAAGAGAAGCACCCCACAGCATGATGCTGCCACCACCATATTTGACAGTGGGGATGGTGTGTTCAGAGTGATGTGCAGTGTTAGTTTTTTGCCACACATAGCATTTTGCATTTTGGCCACAAAGTTCCATTTTGGTCTCATCTGACCAGAGCACCTTCTTCCACATGTTTGCTGTGTCCCCCACATGGCTTGTGGCAAACTGCAAATGGGACTTCTTATGGTTTTCTGTTAACAATGGCTTTCTTCTTGCCACTCTTCCATAAAGGCCAACTGTGTGCAGTGCATGACTAACAGCTGTCCTATGAACAGATTTTCCCACCTGAGCTGTAGATCTCTGCAGCTCGTCCAGAGTCACCATGGGCCTCTTGGCTGCATTTCTGATCAGCGCTCTCCTTGTTCGGCCTGTGAGTTTAGGTGGACGGCCTTGTCTCGATAGGTTTACAGTTGTGCCATACTTCTTCCATTTCTGAATGATTGCTTGAACAGTGCTCCGTGGGATGTTCAAGGCTTGCGAAATCTTTTTGAGCCTGCTTTAAATTTCTCAATAACCTTAACCCTGACCTGTCTGGTGTGTTCTTTGGACTTCATGGTGTTGTTGCTCCCAGTATTCTCTTAGAAAACCTCTGAGGCCGTCACAGATTACTCCAAACTGCTAAAACTTTCCTTCCTTTCTTATGTGCTTACTTATGACTGTAGTTCTCCTTGTCTCCTTACCTTTGTTGTCATGCCACACTCTGACTTTTGACAGTTCGCCCAGACTGAGCATGTCAGGAAATCTGAACACGTCCTTCATTTTTCGCTCAAACTTGTTTCTGTTGGTGCTCTCTTTCAGAGGCAGCGTCCCTGTGTCTCCATACTCCCCAAACACAATCAGAAACACGTTGGCATCAGTGCCAGCACCTAGAATATTGCAAAGATCAGAGAACAGAACTCCAATAAACTTTAACTTATGAGAAAATCTATTAGTAGTTGTAAACATGCTTGTTAAAGTTAAGCACTCAGTGTCTTATTTAACACTTAAAAATATGTAAAATACTCATAGAAGTTCAACAAACGTAAAATTTGGGGAAGAAATTTGTGCAGTTAAAGAGGGCTCTGGGATGATTAGAAAAAAACCCCAACTTTGAATATTGATATTTATTTATTTATTTTTTTAAACTTTATTCCAAGCAGACAAATTAAGTTAAAATTGACTGATACAGTTTCTTTAACCTGGTCAACTTTCTAAATATATGTGGAAACATTCTGTGACCCACCTGCAACGTCACTAGTCTGGACTTGGATGATGTAAGTTGTTTTTTCTACCATCTCCTCGTCATCCACCATAGCCGCCAGCTCACACACCTTTGTCCTCTTGGGCCCTTTGGTCTTGGACAGCCAGTTCTCGTAGGTGAACAGGTACTCTTCCTCTGTGGTCAGGTTTCTCATCAGGATCTAACATTTTAAATCAGACGATGACCTCACAATTCGCATTAAACAAATGTCCACATGTGAAATCTACTATTTAGCTGCAGCAGAGGAGGAGGAAATTGACTGTGATTTTGGAATAAATGCATTAATGTATATTTGTGGCTTGAAAAATGTTAAACAATCCACAAATACACTAAAGTTAACCTAGCATTCATCTGTTTCCACTGCAAAAGAATCTGATTAATTAACGGTATTTGCGAAGGCTGAAAAACGAAATTGCTTCATTATTAAATTAGCAAATTAAAAGATTGTGGTTTAAAAATCACAAGAGTTATTGTTTTAATTACAGCTTAGAGACAGCGCCATCCACTGCAATGATATACCAAACATGCAAGTGAAATTTACTAACTTGTGAAAACTGTTCAGTGTTCCACCTCATTTCATTACCTGAATAGGAACATTTATATAATTTCACAAATACTGTACAATCATTACTTACTTCATTAGGTACATCTGTTCAACCGGTTAATAATGCAAATATTTAATTAGTAAGTCAGAGAGCTGCAGCTCAATGCCTTTAAGTGTGTAGACATAGTCCAGATGACCTCCTAAAGTTAAAACTGAACATCAGAATGTGGAAGAAAAGTTATTTAAGTAACTGACCGTGGCATGGTTGTTGGTGCCAGATGGACTGGTCTGAGTATTTCAGAAACTGTTGATTTTCCCACATAACCATCTTTAGGGTTTATAGTAGTGATGTGCGATACCACGGATTTCCTTTCCGATCCGATACCAATTAATATTCAGGGTGGTATCGACGATACTGATCCGATACCGATAGTTTGATCTCAAGTTATAGCATCATAATGATTACAGGACATCAGATTTCTTGTTCTTATCACTTAATAATGCAGATGAGTTCATCATATAGAAATAGAAAAACTGAAGTTGTGCGCTATTTGAACACCTTGCCTGCCTGCATCACTAAAGGACTCCGTGAGAGTCTCGCCCTAGCAGCACCTGTCCCTCTCCTCCTCTTCAGTTCGCTTCAACATACGCTCGTCATATTCTGTGATATGATTTGCTCTGAGGTGTTTGACAAGGTTAGTGATGTTGCCACAACCATACATGCCAACCCTCCCGATGTTTCCAGGAGAATCCTGAATTTCAGTGCCCCTCCCCAAAATCTCCTGGAGCCACCATTCTCCTGAATTTCTCCCAATTTTCCACCCGGACATCAAAATTGAAAAACCATGTCGCAGAATTCATAGCGCGGCGCGGCCCAGCCTATTCCAGTTTCCAGATACTTAGTTTTAATATTACTCTTATTTCTCTTTCTGGGTCGCAAAAAAACTTTTAACATATTTTCAGGTGAGAATGTAGCTGTGTAAACTTCAAATATCTGAGCCAACCGACACATCGTCTTCAAACCCCCGCGGTCGTTAAACATGATATATAAGTCACTTTGATAACTTAAAAATGTTATTGTTTGGCTTTTTCAGTGTTTTATTTGTTCGCGAGTAAATCGGTTTGGCTGAGAATAAAGTTGTTAGATTAGATTAAATAAAATTTAACTTTATTAATCCCTCGAGAGGGTTCCTCCAGGGTTTTCACACAGCTGAATAAACGTCAAACAGAAAACTGTTTAAACAGAAGTGTGAGACGGTCGAGAGTTTAAGTCAGCGCCCTGTTATATTTTAGATAGCAAGGAGCAGAGTCTCAGGTGGAAGCAGCCTCTGAATTTGGACACCCCCGCTGTAATAATGGTGACATTTAACGTATTTTATCCGATAAATAAACACTGTAAAATTTATTTATCAACCCCCCCAACAGCCTTTTTGAATGTCTCCCTAATTCTGAGGTCTCAAGGTTGGCAAGTATGGCCACAACACCTCACTTTTTGCCACATGTATCGCAAACCACGTCTTGGCTGTTTGTGGATGTAAAATACAGTGGGGCAAAAAAGTATTTAGTCAGCCACCGATTGTGCAAGTTCCCCCACTTAAAATGATGACAGAGGTCAGTAATTTGCACCAGAGGTACACTTCAACTGTGAGAGACAGAATGTGAAAAAAAAATCCATGAATTCACATGGTAGGATTTGTAAAGAATTTATTTGTAAATCAGGGTGGAAAATAAGTATTTGGTCACCTCAAACAAGGAAAATCTCTGGCTCTCACAGACCTGTAACGTCTTCTGTAAGAAGCTTTTCTGTCCCCCACTCGTTACCTGTATGAATGGCACCTGTTTGAACTCATCATCTGTATAAAAGACACCTGTCCACAGCCTCAAACAGTCAGACTCCAAACTCCGCCATGGCCAAGACCAAAGAGCTTTCGAAGGACACCAGGAAAAGTATTGTAGACCTGCACCAGACTGGGAAGAGTGAATCTACAATAGGCAAGCAGCTTGGTGTGAAAAAATCAACTGTGGGAGCAATCATCAGAAAATGGAAGACATACAAGACCACTGATAATCTCCCTCGATCTGGGGCTCCACGCAAGATCTCATCCCGTGGGGTCAAAATGATCATGAGAACGGTGAGCAAAGATCCCAGAACCACACGGGGGGACCTGGTGAATGACCTGCAGAGAGCTGGGACCAAAGTAACAAAGGTCACCATCAGTAACACACTACAACGGCAGGGAATCAAATCCCGCAGTGCCAGACGTGTTCCGCTGCTGAAGCCAGTGCATGTCCAGGCCCGTCTGAAGTTTGCCAGAGAGCACATGGATGATAGAGCAGAGGATTGGGAGAATGTCATGTGGTCAGATGAAACCAAAGTAGAACTTTTTGGTATAAACTCAACTCGTCGTGTTTGGAGGAAGAAGAATACTGAGTTGCATCCCAAGAACACCATACCTACTGTGAAGCATGGGGGTGGAAACATCATGCTATGGGGCTGTTTTTCTGCCAAGGGGACAGGACGACTGATCCGTGTTAAGGACAGAATGAATGGGGCCATGTATCGTGAGATTTTGAGCCAAAACCTCCTTCCATCAGTGAGAACTTTGAAGATGAAACGAGGCTGGGTCTTCCAACATGACAATGATCCAAAACACACCGCCCGGGCAACAAAGGAGTGGCTCCGTAAGAAGCATTTGAAAGTCCTGGAGTGGCCTAGCCAGTCTCCAGACCTCAACCCCATAGAAAATCTGTGGCGGGAGTTGAAAGTCCGTGTTGCTCGGCGACAGCCCCAAAACATCACTGCTCTCGAGAAGATCTGCATGGAGGAATGGGCCAAAATACCAGCTACTGTGTGTGCAAACCTGGTAAAGACCTATAGTAAACGTTTGACCTCTGTTATTGCCAACAAAGGTTATGTTACAAAGTATTGAGTTGTATTTTTGTTATTGACCAAATACTTATTTTCCACCCTAATTTACGAATAAATTCTTTACAAATCCTACCATGTGGATTCATGGATTTTTTTTTTCACATTCTGTCTCTCACAGTTGAAGTGTACCTCTGGTGCAAATTACTGACCTCTGTCATCATTTTAAGTGGGGGAACTTGCACAATCGGTGGCTGACTAAATACTTTTTTGCCCCACTGTATGTCCGCAAATTACTCCAATTACGCTCAGCCATTGTTGTGAGTGCACACGCCAGCGGCTGCGAGACATTTATACAGCCGTATTTCGCACATGACTATGAAAGGCGGAAGAGGAAGTAGTGCCTTTGAATGTAGACAATCCGAATGTTATAGTTTCTTTCCACTGTGTTGCTGTTAATGATAAACTACAAATTTACTCTAAACTACTAAAATATCGATATTTTAATGTGAGAATTGATTCTAGAACATAAATGATTGGTATCGGAGGAATCAATATTTCAGGATCGATCTGCACATCACTAGTTTATAGAGGACGGACAGAAAAAGATAAAATATCCAGTGATCTGATTGTTCTCTGTGCAGTGAAAATGCCTTTTGATGCCAGAGAAAGACTGCATTGAGCTGATAGGGAGCCAACAGTGACTCAAAAAAACCACACCTTGCAACCAAGGTATGCAGAAAAACATCTCTGAAAGCACAAAATATCAAATGCTGCAGCAGATCACACTGAGTGCCACTCCTGTTTGCTAAGAGCAGGAACCTGAGGCTACAATACACATGGGATCAACAGAACAGAAGATTGGAAAAATGTTGTCTGGTCTGATGAGTTCTTGATTTCTGCTGCAACATTCAGATAGTAGTGTCTGAATTTGTTGCAAACAACATGAAAACATGGATCCATCCTGCTTGCATCAACAGTTCAGGCTGCTAGTGGTGGTTTAATGATGTGGGGGATATTTTCTTGGCATGCTTTGGGCCCCTTAGTACCAACTGAGCATTATTGAAATGCCACAGCCTACCTGAGAATTGATGCTGATCATTTCCATCCCTTTATGGCCACGGTGTACCCATCTTCTGATGGTTGCTTTCAAAAGGATGACACACCATATCACAAAGCTCAAGTAATCTCAAACTGATTGCTTGAATATGAAAATGAGCTCACTGTTCTCAAATGGCCTCTACAGTCACCAGATCTCAATCAAGCAGAGCACCTTTGGGATTTGGCTCAACGGGGGATTTGTATCATGGTTGTGGGGCCAACAAATCTGCAGCAAGTGTTTGACGGTATCATGTCAGTAATGGGTAAAATCTCAGAGGAATGTATACACCACCTTGTTGAACCTATGCCATGAAGAATTAAGCCAGTTCTGAATGTAAAAGGGGATCTAGCAAACTGTACCTTATAAAGTAGCACATGAGTGTAACACGTAATATTTATGATAAACTGATGTGAAAGTTTTGTGCTACCTCAAAATGTGCATCTGCTTTCCGGTAATTGCAAATTATTTCTTATCATTCCTTCTTTCTTACATTTTGTATTCTAATACCAGACGTGTTGCATCAGACTCTCTTTGCATTACCCTGTCAAGAAACCAGTCTGGGCGGCTTCCGGTGCCATCTATTCGAATTCTGATCTTCTTCAAAGGAGCGATGTCATCTATCTCCAAGGTAAATGTGTCTTCTTGCCCTCTTTCAAACCTGAATGAACCAATATATATGGATTAAGCTGCATTTAAAGACATGACTGTGCTAATTAAATAGTTTAACCTTTCTGAAGATACATTTAATTGCATTTTAACTTTCATGCCTTTGTAGCTGTACACAGCAGCTGGTTAGATTATCTTAGGTTAAACGGCATAAACAGTGAAACAGCCTGTCCAATTTTGTCCATAGGCAACAGCACAGATTAACATAAAACACTGTGTTTATTCAGAAACATGTGGTGCTTATGGCATTTATATGGCAGACTCTTTGTTATTACGATCTTAGTGCCAATAAAGGAAATCACTGCTTTGATCCAAAATACCACACAATAAGTGACATTTCTTTATAATTAGGTCACATTAATGAGATGCAACACATATATTATTGAACTTTAAAGGTGCTGATGAGCTCATTTTGTTTGTTTAAACTCAGGCATCCCACATTTCCAGTATTTGCACTGAAAGTATCAACTGTTTCTTTACTGATAAGTAATCACTGTGAACTGACCTATCCTCATTTTTGGGCAGAAGCATTTCCTCTGTGCTCCCATTGGCTCCGAACACGGTCAGGAAAATGTTGGTATCAGTTCCTGCATACTGAATGTCACCTGTGGCAACCGTGACTGAATAAACAACCTAAAAAAATACAGTACACAGAGATACAGATACAGTTTTTATGTAACACATTAACTGAATGTTTTCCAACACTTCATATTTTAGGTGCGGTGACTCACTTTGCGGATAATGTTGATCGTGCTGGAGTCCAGCACATTGAACAGTCTGGCAGTCAGACCATCTCCCCTGTCTTTAGCCAGCCAGCACTTACATGGAAAGATGTACTTGATACCTTTGGTTGGCACGGCAACCGACAGCTCATCCACCAACCAGCAGCTCTCTGGTGTGACACCATTATGGCCAAGCTGAGAGGGAAGAGAAGGGAGAGGAGATGGAGAGGGAATTTGTATATCACTTGATTTTTGTTTGATCTAGGCACATCTAGAATTAATTATTGCTGAGCTAGAATGGTTTTATTAAAATTTTAATAGCAGTGCATCTGAAGAGACAGCAGAGAGGAGACAGTTTCACAGATTTAGCTACAGAAAGAGTCCCAGATTCTCACTTCCACCCTCTTGATCTCTCCCACGTCAGTTCCATAGCACACAAAGTGCTCCATGGAGCCAGCTGTGAAGGATTTCTTTCCCTCTGGCAGGTCCAGCCACAGCCGGTCTGTCTCGACGTCATTGGGACCAATGATGATGACATAAACCCTCGCTGTGGTGCTGGCATCTTGTTCGATCGCCGTGGACAGGGTGAAGTGATAAGGGATGACTGGGTGAGAGAGAAAAACTGCTTTGAGATTTTTTTCCACATATAAAATTCAGTCTGATGTCTCAGCCACTTCAGAGACCATTCCTACTTCTTTAATATTAGTACTATCATCTAGCTCCAGGCTGAGTGTGACCTTTTGATCTTTTTCAAATATGGATGGAGACAATATTAAAGTTTATCTTAAAGGAGTAGTTTGACATTTTGGGAAAGGTGTATTCTTACAGAAAGTCAGATTAAGGTGGAAGATTGTTAGCACTCTTTTAAAACTGTAGCCAGCAGCCATTTACCTTAGCATAGCACGAAGACTTATAGTCAGGAAATAATCCTTCATCACTATACACTGTAAAAGCATACAGCTGTTCTTCTTAGACGAAACATGTTGTGTTAATTAATGAGCCTTTAAGGTGTTTGTAGATGCTTTTCTTTTATTAAGGCTACATCAGTGTTATTCTAGTGCTTTAGCACACACATACTATCATGTGCAGCCAAAGAAAGAGAGCAGAGGGATGCTTGTTTTGTGTCTTGTATCAGAAGAACAGAAACAGCAACGTTTCAGATCAGAGATTTATTTTGCCTGAGGTAGAGCAGTTCCACTACTAATCAGAAGGTCAGTTGTTCAATCCCTCCTCCTCCTTCATTCTGCACGTTGAAGTGTCCTTGGGCAAGATACTGACCCTCAAATCCGCCTCCCCGTGCATCCTTCAAAAAGTGTGTTCGTGTGTGTGTTTGAAAGTCCTTAGAGGCAGAAAATATAGCTCAAATGTGTGTGTGAATGTGGGTTGTAATAATCAATTGCTTTGAGTGCTCACTTAGACTAGAAAAGCACTACATAAGTACCAGTTCATTTAGCATCCCTGGTAGAGAGGTACAAAGAGGATTATAGAGGATGAGGTTACAAAAGGTGTCTGAGCCAAGCTATCTTTTTTGTCTTTTTTTCTCATTTTTTGAAGCAATTGTAGGTCTGCGTACTACAATTTTGTGGATGTCTCTGCTTTCCTTTCCACACTAAAAAAAGTCAGAACTGCATTGGCAGGACTTCCAGAAGTCTCAGTTTTAGGAGTGCTGTGGTGAGTGAGTTCAGGCACAAGGCGTAACTTTGGTAAGTTAAACACTTTAAAATGAAAGCCACCAAGCACAAATTTCTTTAATGTTGGTTAATTTGGTGTAAATATTAGGGTGAACTATGACCTGATTGATATTACCTATATTTATCAAATTTCTATAAGTTTGCATTGATTCTTCCTGTTGATATTGTGGTTATTTATCATGTTGAATTTCAGTATTTTTTCCTGATATTTGTGTCCACTTCCAGAAACGTCATTTCACAAAGAGACACAATGAATAGACCTTACTTGGACCCTCTTCAACCACTACTGCCTTTTTCTTCTTTTTCTTCTTGTTGGCATTCTTGTCCAGTCCCAGTTTGGCCTGAGCAATCATTTTGGAATATGGATCAGAGCTTCTTTCACCCTCATACCCCTGAAACAGGGACAAAATAAACACAGCTATCAATTTTCTTTTCTGGAATAACTCTGACATACAAAGAAGAAAATAATAAAACACTGTCTTTAAACACAACCTTGACGTAGAAGGTCCTGTCTATTCGTTTGTCCTCTTTCTTCGTTGATAGCCAGCGCTCACACAGGAACATGTATACCTCTTCTGTTTCCACATCCAGCACCTCCACCTGGTCCAGGTACCAATCAGCCCCAATCATAGAGTTGTTATGACGAACACGAATCTTAAACACCTGCCCCAAATCCACGGCCTCAATATTGAACTTATCCACCTAAAAGGCAAAAGGAATTGAACAGATTTAGATTTATTTTTGTGCAACATCACATAACGATTCGCACTTCTCCTCTAATACCTCTCCTCTCTCAAACTTGTTCTTGTTATTCTCAGATTTGGCGAGTTTCCGCTCTCCTGTGTCTCCCAAATCTCCATAAATGGTGAGGAAAACGTTGGCATCGGTCCCTGCTCCGTACATATCGCCTGTCCGCACAGACACCGTGTATGTGTGAGCTGTGAGGGAGGAAAAATTTTGAAGTCGGTAAATGCAGACCTTGTTTGCTAATAGATTTTTTTTTCCAACTGTGTTGTTTCCAGTCTCACAGCGTGTCTATTTATACAGCAAAATGTCTCAAAAAATTTGTACAACATGCAGAGGGTTGGTGTGACAGAAGAGGATGCTTTGGATAGTGCGAGATCGGCTGTGGTAACCCCTAAAGAGAGCAGCTGAAAGAAGAAGAATGTCTCAAAATTGGACTTTAAACCGTTCTCCCCACTAACCCTTTCAAAACTGAGTTCAGCTTTGAAAAAGTGCATGCTAGAAGAGCATATTAGGATGCTGAAAAGCAAAATCTACCAAGGCTTATATTGCTCCATGCTAGTTCAACATCTTCACCATGCAACAGCTGAAATACAAATAAGCACCTCTAATGTTTCCTTAGACAGAGCACTTGAAAGCAAGTGTAGTTACATTCCACCGGTGACATAACTTTCAACCTACTTTCCAAAGCATCTTCCACCTCAGTTTCAGTCGTTTTCAGTGTCCCATCCCTGAGGAGTTTCTGTGTGATGATGTCTGAAGGGACAAGCTCCCTCACCGTCTCACCATCATCTTCAGACTTAGCTAGCCAGCGCTCGCAAGGGAATATAGTCGTCTCAGAACCCTGCCATTAAACACACACAACTCTTCAGTCTGGCACCAGCTATGTTTCTCTAGCTGAGACTCAATGAACTGTGTGAGCCAGAAGATGTTAAATTATTAATTTGTTAATAATTTAATGAGGCCACAGACAAGAAATCTCTTAACGATGCACTTACAGTGCATTGCCTAAAGTATTCACTCATCTGCGTTCAAAGGCATATGAACTTGAGTGACATCCCATTCTTAATCCATAGGGTTGAACATGATGTTGCAGCTATAATAGCTTCAACTCTTCTGGGAAGGCTTTCCACAAGGTTTAAGAGTGTTTTTATGAGAATATTTGACTACTCTTCCAGAAGAGCGTTTGTGATGTTGGATGAGAAGGGTGCTGTCAGGACTCTGTACAGGACAATCAAATTCTTTCACACCAGACTCGCTCATCCATGTTTTTATGAACCTTATGTGCCTCGGTATGTGCTCTGTGATTTTATGTGACCTACCACTTTGTGGCTGAGCTGCTGTCATTCCTCAATCGCTTCCACTTAATAATAATAACAGTAAAAGTTTAATGTGGAATCCTTAGTAGTGCTTGACTTCACAGAGCTCCTGAGAGCAACCCATTGTGTCACAAATGTTTGTAGAAGCAGTGTGCATGCCTAGGTGCTTGATTTTATACACACACCTGTGGCCATGGAAGTAACTGGAACACCTTAGCCATGATTTGGATGAGTGAGTGAATAGTTTTGGCAATATAATGCCGCTATTATGGTGTCATCTCATGTGGCTTTTGCTTACCTTTCCTTTCCTGAGCTGTCGCCTGATCTCCACTCTGTCAAGATGCCATCCAGGATTGGTGCCGCTGTTGTCATGTCCTATCCTGATTTTCTCTATAACATCACCAATGTCCTCCAGCTGTTTAAAGACAACTTATCATTCGCAAACCGGCCGCCACTTTTTGAAAAGCTCTATCAGTGAGTAGCCACACATTACACTTACCTCCACAATAAACATGTCTTCAGCTCCCCTCTCAAAGCACAAGCGTCGCTCTCTCTTGTTGACACACAGGTGCTTCTGCTGAGTGCACACCCCCTTATGGCCATACAAGACTATAAACACGTCAGCATCTGTTCCCGCTCCAAATACATCGGTGGTGTATATCTTTATCTCATAAGGCACAACTGAAAAAAATGGAAAAGCTTTTTTGTTGACAGGTAAGGTGGAAGAACCCTTTTTGAGCCGTACACACACTGGTCCCATCATCGTTTACACTTCGGTTTATCAGGTGTCAGGTACAGCTGACCACTTGTGTTCAGATTTCCTTTCCTTCTTTTTAACCAAGAGTCAGCAAAGAAAACAACTATTTTAAGACTTGTAAAACACAAAAGCTGCATGAAAAAGAGAAAACAAGGTGTTACAATCTTGTTGTGGATGTATTAGACGCACTACAAAAAAATGTCAGTGCGTCAAAGACTGAAACTGCTTTGGCGGTTTCACCATTTATTGATGAGCAAACACTATCATGGTTAACTCATATTGATGACGTAGGAGTGGGTATATTTCAACTGAATATTCAAAAGCTTGCGTTTTGAATTTCAGAGGCCACAATTAAACGTGTATAATAGTCTTTGTTTCTATCCCACCTTGATTACTTGTCTGTTATTTGGTTTTAGTGCTTCAGAAGTAAGACCCTTGCTCAAAACAGAGCTACCCCTTTTGCTCTTCACTGAAGGACAGTGTGGGTGGGAAACATGCCAGGCTGTCATGGATGAAGGTGGAGGACAGGCTGGCATATAATCTAGTCTTTTATATAAGAAACATTTGCATTTTAGGAAAGGCTATATTAGTATTCACAGCTAACGTTTACAGTTATGACACCAGACGTGCTTTTATGCCTTACAGAAAACATATCAGACTAAACTATCTAACTGTAATAACTGTCCATCATTCTTACTACAAGCATTGATAAGCAATTAAAAGCAAGAAGTTTAGGAAGAAAGTCGTGCAGTATATGTGGTTATTTATCTGTGGAGAGGGATCACAGTTGTGCTAGCTGATAGCATAACTGCTGGCTTAAAATGTGTTTATTGTCACTGATGACATTTTTCTGTTTTAGTGTTAACTTGTTGTTGAAACTCAAAGGAATCATTTGATCTTTTAATACATTTGCTGTCCTAAATAGTTAACATCTAACTGGTAAGATACTGAATGAAAATACAAAGTAATGTGTAGAAATTATATCTATAGATAATTGCTACTATAATATCCTGAAATTGGTTGAACTTTTAGAGCCTGCTTTATAAAAATGCCCTTATATTGAAGGGCATTAAATTATCGTCATTGATTAAATAATAACAGTCTTTGAGCCCGCTTTATAAACTGCAATATTATTTATTTACTTTCTTGTTGTTTGTATAAACTAACTGACATGAATGGATCATAATGCATAAGTTGAGTTTGCATACATATTGATAAAAAACAAACTATACTCTATAAGTCAATATTTCGGGCTGTTGTCTCAAACTTTATCTCAAAATTTGGATTTATTAACTCAAACTAATGAGAAAATAACTTTATCAAGGGGAGGCTGGAGCCTATCCCAGCTGTCATAGGGCGAGAGGCAGGGTACACCCTGAACAGGTCGCCAGTCTAACACACAGACACAGACAACCATTTGCACTCAAATAACTTAAATTCTGAGTAATTTTGTCTAAAGTTTGAGTGAGTAAGTCATAATCTTTTTTTGGAAAATAACCTGAAATTTCGACTTAGCTCTGCCAATCGAAAATGTTTTTTTCAAGGGCAGAAACAAGCCTTCATTGGAGGAATGATAATAAAAAGACAGGACACCACTGCAGCTTTATAACATTCATTACAGGTTGGAGTTAAGCACCATTCTTCAGGCAGACTGCTTTAAAATACATTTTACTGCTAATGCTTCCGCTCTTTTATCAGAGTGAAATTTTGCATAAAGCACTTTTAGAGGACGATTTCTCAATAAGCCTACTCTACGTTTACTAATGGATTTGAGTGCTTATATCACTGCTGTTCACTCACATGGTGTGTAGAATTCAGTCTGTAAGTCAGCAGGATAGAGATCCCTCACAGTTGCACCATCATCCTCCCCTTTATCCAGCCAACGGCCACATGGGAAGCGCATCCTCTGACCCTGTGAAGGGGCATCAATGTCGATCCAGTCCAAGAACCAACCAGATGAACCCCCTGATTCAGAAAAAAAAAGTTTATTTTTTTTGTACAGTGCAGTGCTTATGTATATGACTGCTTTGTTTGTTTTTGGACAGTACGTTCTTTCCCCACCTGAGTTGTCGTGCCCGATTCGAACTTTTACCAGGTCGCCCAGATCCACGGCCTCCACAGTGAACTCATTGATCATCCCCTGTTCAAACTTATTCTTGTAGTTTTTACAAGCCTTTAGATTGATGATCCCTGTGGGTGACATGCAGATTTTTTTTAAAATTCTGATATTTAGCCAGTAACAGGGATGCCACCATAATGCAGGGATGATGCTGAATTATCGCACCTGTGTCATCATTTTCACCAAAGAGGATGGCGAAGACGTTGGAATCAGTTCCAGCATACTTCTTTTCTCCAGTTTTTATCTTAAGAGTATATGTAGTAGACATAGCTGCAGGATAAATTTATCATATAAGTACATGAAACTTGTCATATTGGTCTTCCACTAATCTTATCCCACTGAGGCGTAAACAAGCTTTGAAGCTTCATTACATTTCTGCTCCAGGCCCAGAGTACCACTCGTGCCCTCATCATCATCATCCTTCCTCATGAAGGCCTCATCCACGGGAACCAGCTCTCTCGCTATCTGCCCGTCGTCTTCATCAACTGCAAGCCAGCGGTTACAAGGGAAGTAGTATCTACAGAAGAAACACCTCTGTTCAACACTCCAAGATATAATCTTGTTAATTTACTCTCCTAATCACACAAAATCTTTAATCCTTGTTTGCTGTAGGATTTTTCTGGAATCCAGCTGAATAACTAAGCAAAACCCACATGGCTGTATGTTTGTGGCACCTACGTTGTATCCTCTTTTGTGTCCACTATTTCAACACGATCCAGGTACCAAGAGGAGTAAGACTCAGAGTTGTCATGACGGATTCGTAGCTTCTTCAAAGGGCCCAAATCAACGGCTGTCACGATGAAAACATCCTCCTGCAAAATGCAGCAACTAGATGTTTTACAAATCACTTTTAATTTAACTGTTTTTATTTGATAGTCCAAAGTGATACCAGAGCAGAAATGAATCGGGACTCACAAGAGTGTTAACTGATAGAAGAGAAGTTGGTTTGAAACAGTACTGAAATATATGAAAGCTTTGAAACTTTACAAGGGAAAGACAGAAAAGGCACAAATATATGAAAGTGGAATGCAATCCATCCAGAGTTGCTACAGTATATCTGACCACATCACAAATATATTATTAGAAGAAGCATGTAAGCAAAAACAAGGTAATATGAAAACTCCCTGTTTCTGCGATGCTGTGTAAAATGTAGAGAAGAACAAAATGCAAAATCCCATATTTACCTAAAAATAAGTCAAAGACAACTTAAAAAAAACTTTAGTTGAATTTGATATGTATATTATAATGTTCCCAAAGTCTTGAAAGTAGGCAGGGTAGTTCAACAAACAGACTCTTTTACTTTTGTTTTTACAATTGAGTCATGTTGTTCACATCACAGAGGTACCTATATGTGGTTTGACATTGTCCTGAGAAATCATCATCTGTATGGCTGCATATGATTTGGAATCATCTAGTGGGATTCATATGTTTCTCCATAACTTGTATGTACTCTTCAGCCTTAACAGTGCCTACCATGTGCAAGTTACTCATGCTTTTAGAATGCACACTAATATTAAGTCATACAGTTCCTCACATTTTTAGAGAGGAGGAAGTGATGGGCATGTTTTCCATCATTTTTATCATTTTTAATTAAATACACTAAGTGATTTGCAAGTCAATTCATTTTTTTCACCTTTCCTATTATGTTAAAAAAGGAGAAGACGGCTGGTCATACTCCACAGAAAACAGTTAAATGAATATGTGAGCTGCAGTTAAATTTCTTCATGGTAATGTGACAAAGATGGCACCATTCGTTTGTTCCCTTCTCCCTTCCACTTGCCACTCCTGGATTTATTTCTGTCTTCCCGAATCATCTGAAAACAGTTGATGTTAGTGACGGGATCTTGAATTATTCTTGAAGATGTGTTTCTGTGACACTCAGTATAATACACACATGAAGAGCCCCTCATTTCTCACAAAAGCTGTTAGCCTCTCTGTGGTCCAGCCATCTCACAGGCATGACAGTGTCTGTTTTCTGGGCCTGTTTCTTTTCCCTTGTAGCTTCCTTCTACTTCCACATCCCCTGCTTGTTATCCTCTGATTTCTGCAGGGATGTCTGTTGTTGTTATTCCGGTCGTCATGCAACTGCAGCACGTTTAATAAAAATGGTAATAAGGGGTCGAGAAAACAGAGCAGGTCTCCCAAGCAACATGTCCGGTGATGGCATAGCTCAAGAAAAAAAGGTACTAGCAATAAACGAAACAAACCAAGTGTGACAAGAAAAAGTAAAAGAAAGCAAAAAAGGAAGGAAGAAAAGGACAGAGAAAGAGAGGTGGGGTTGTTGAGGAAATATTCAGTTTATTTCACTGTTAAGGCACTCACTCATGAGTAAAATATAGTATTTTTTTTTTTTACATTGTATCACATAAAAGTATTTATTTATTTATTTATTTTTTAAAAAAGAAGAACAATTCCTTTACAGAACTGAGGGTGACACTGTTTATTCAGGAGCTTTAATTGGTCATAAATAAACTCTCTTTCTTAAATTTTGTTATTATATATATGCCTCTTAAAGTATCTTTAATGAAAAAAACGATTTTAAACAGAACTAAACAGAGAAAAGGTGTAGATGTCTGTCAGCCACAGACCAAACATTCCCACTCACCGAATGGACTTTTTACTTGTGTCTTAGAAACAGACCCATTTTCCACTGAAGTGAGCTCTATGTTCTTACAGGGCCAGCTGTGATAATTAATTAACAGGTGTGGATAAAGTATGGAGTAAAAGTAGGACGGGTTCAATGACGCAGAGGACTCCTGTGAGTCCAAGCCGGCTTGCCTGCAGGAGTGTTTGTAACCCTACCAGAATATGCTCCCACCACACCTCAGTGGAAGACTCATGTTGCGCGAACATGGTTGAATCTTTGACTAACTGCTGGTTAATTTTCAGCATGACACATTTTTGAACAAATGTATAAAGGTGTTCAGCTGTGATGAAAGCTACTAAGATATTTTTTTTAAGAATATCAATTCGTAGAACTTGCCACAATAGAGCATAATCACAAATATAATCAAGCGACATCTTTAAATCTAAATCATCATTTTTATAATCATACAAATTTAGAAGTGATTGTGTATTTCCTTTATTACCTGCCCTCCCTCAAATTTATTGATGTTGTCAGAATTCTTCAGGCAGCGCTCTCCAGTGTCTCCGTTCTCTCCATAAATATTAATGTAGACATTGGCGTCGGTCCCGGCTCCCATCATGTCACCAGTGAAGACACACACTTCGTAGGTGTTGACTGTCAGACAAAACAAGGGTTCAATTACTAACACCTTGTTAACCTGTCATACATGCCCTCCAAGTAAATGTGTGAACCAATTATGGCTAAAACACAACACTGAAGACACAATGAAGATGTCGTAAATAAAAATACATTTCAGTTCTTTATTGCTTATTAGCTGTAGCTAATTGAAATTTCTTAAATGACTAAAAATGGGATAAGGTGGTACTGGGAAGTCTTGTTCAAAAAGATAAATGCAGACAGGTGGGTGCTCACTGGAAAACTGATAGAAAATACATCTGCTTTAAGCCTATGTCTTAAATTAATTAACTATGTGAGGAGAAGGGATGCATATGGGAAGAAGAGGTGCTCTTTGAATAAAACAGACCTTTTCTTCTCTCTAACTTTAAAGACATGATGTTAAATCTTTTAGTTTTGGTTGACTTAATAATATTATTACGTGCAATGTAATCATGAATTTCATCCAGCACTGGTATGCTTCCTTTGCTCTGAATGCATTATTCATGTGAAAAGGCATTTGAATTCAGTGCAGATGGTAGATTACCTCCATGACTAGATTTCCACATAGGGAGGTAACTAAGGATTGCACACAGTCAGTGAGACTGCAAAAAGTCATTAATAATATAAAAAAAATTATAATGAAAATCTCACGCATTGAAACTTTAATATGCTCCAAACTCAGAGAAGTGTTTAAAGAACATATGCAATTTCTAAAAATGCATTTTATGCTGTTGCATTTTTGATATAATTTAAAGAGAGGGTTCATGGACCAGCGAACAAAGCTGTGTTTGCCTGACTCTATCCGTGCATGAATAGCAGCTCCATTTTGTTGCAGGTGGTATATTTGAAAGAGTGATTTTGGTGCATTTTTATTGTGGAGTATGCACGGAGAAAAGGGTTTTGTTTTGTACTATGTTGCAAATCCATGGCCACTGAACTACCGGGAATTACTATTATGATGATTATTACTATCACATATATCATCATCATCATGAACTGTGTTAAATAAAACAGTTAAAACTTTCATTTAGCTTGTTCATTTAGTACCTTCCATCTCTTCTGCATCTTCAGGCAGCAGCTCCACCACCAGCTCGCCGTCCTCCTCTCCCCCAGCCAACCAGCGTGAACAGGGAAAATGATATGTCAGCACCACTTCTTGCATCTCCTCGCCACCCTCCTCATCCTCATCTTCCTCTTTCTTCTTTTTCTTCTTCTTTTTCTTGTCCTCCTTTTTCTTCTCCTTGGGCACCAAGGCCATGATGAGATGTTTCACGTCCACTGTCTCCAGGAACCAGCCAGATCCAATGCCGGCGCCATTGTGACCGATGCGTATCTTAAAGATCTTTCCGACATCTTTGGCCTCTATCTGTCAAACAATTGAAAAGTTTTGATTCAACATTTGGACACTTAATTCTGCATTCACGTTAAATTGTTGCAATAGAGTTGGAGTTTTGGAAATCATAAAATCCAGATTTGAAACCTTAAATATTTCGGTGGTATTCCGTTCAAAGTTGTTGGATCTGCTTTCCAGTGTGATAACCTCCGTCTTCCCCTTGTCCCCGTAGATTTGGATGAAGACTACAGCATTTGTGCCAGCAAACACCACATCTCCGGTCACGACTGTTATCTCATAGTTTATTACTAGAAAATGTAGATCGATGAATGTGAAAGTGAACAGAAGTATTTTTCATGCAGCAATGGTGTTAACACATACTCATATACTTAACTCATATATTTAAAACGCCTTACATAATAATTCAGTTCAGTGTAATTGTTTTTAAATAGTGGAAATTCACAATAACTTTTATCTCAAGGTACTTTATATTGCAGGCCCCAAACCCTACAGTCTAAAAAATATTTTAAAATAACCCAACAAAGAGACAACCCCCTATGAGCTTGCACTTGGTGATGGTGGGAAGGAAGAAACTTCCAGTAGAACCAGCCTCAGGGAGGGGCAGCTATTTGCTGGGACTGGTTGAAAGAAAAGACTCCATTATTAACCTTGGTAGGTGAAGGTGACTCCCTATTTGACTTTTGACTTACTCACTCATTTAAATACTGTTTATTAGTGTTTTTCTTCCTGTGCTTAATGTGTTGCCTACATTGTTCTACATCCAGGATCTCGCTTGGGTAGAGCTCCACCGTTGTTTTGCCATCGGCCTCATCTTCGTCCAGCCAGCGGTGGCTGGGGAACATGTAATTCTTTCCATGGACTGGAACCAAAATTTGAACACTGTCCAAGAACCAGCCCGCACGCATGCCTTTGTTAGTGTGGCCAATCAACAGACGGTTGATCTGGAAGAATAAATAAATGACACCAATTACATTTTAGACGTTTCACGCAGAAATTCTGAAAGTTCACAGGAAAAAACAAAACAATAGAATATGTGTTATGTGTTTTTTCCATTTTACTTTAGCAAATATCCTCTCATATTTGGAGCAAATTGAATAAAAAATCATAATAATACTGACAATTATTGTTGCTAAGCCACTGTCCACAAACAGACACTACAAACATTGTTTCTATGATGTGTTTGTAACAGTAACTAAGCAACAGTAATTAGCAGTAAGGGTACAAATGCATTTAGACTACAGTTAAGATCTTTTTTTATTAGAATACAGATAGTATTATCCTATAATAAAATAGAATGAATCACAAAAGGCTATGTGTCTTTCATAAGTGAGAATAGGTCTTTAGTAAAGCTTTTCATAATACTGCAGTAGTGTGTAAAAGTCTCCAGCCACCTCTTATTTATAATCTTTATAATTTGCAAGGAAATTTGGAAAATAGGTGCAGAGATTTATTGAAAAATGTGCAAACCTACATGAAAATATGTGCTTAAAACACAGTCTGTACAATTGAAACAAGGGAATCACCTTTTGGTGCATAAAAAGTTACAAAAAAAAGTCAATTTTCATGGAAAAAAAATATAAAGAATTGAAGGGGAAGACTTATGCATAGTACTTTACATTGGCATCAACATCAAATGACAAAAACCTGTCCAATGTCAAAGGTTTCCACTGTGAAGATGTCAACGCGGCCTGTTTCAAAGTAGTTCCCCAGGTCGTTGGCAGAGACCACCAGCATCATCTTACTGGTGTCACCTTTCTCTCCATAGAGCTTCACAAACACATCAGAGTCAGAGCTACCTCCGGGGATGTCACCTGTCTTCACAGCGATGTGATAGTTGGTATCTGACACACACAGAGAACAAATATAAGCATGACAATAAAATTCAAACGTTACTGAAATGTCAGATTCCTTTAACTTACTGTAAAGACGCTGTCCTTCTGCAAACGGAACTAATTCTCTGACAATCTGTCCATCATCCTCGTTGCGGGCCAGCCATCTGCATGCCACATTCAGTAAACAAACTATTATCTCATCCATCACACACACACACACACAGTTTAACAACTATTATGTATATACAAAACATGTTTTTAGGAACATGTAATCATCCAATCATTCATTCATGTGCCAGCACTGCAGCAAATAAAATCTTCAGGATCAGGATCTTTAGTTTATGTGCACATCAAAATAAAGAAATGAGGCAGGCTGTCTTTAAAGATGTGTTCCTAACAAAGTGACTAGTTAGTGTCGATTTTATTTCCCCGCAACAACTGTGACTGATGAGAGCACCTGTTACAGGGGAACTCCACGGCATTTGCCTCAGCTTGTCCTTCCTCTCTTACAATCACTTTGTCAAGAAACCAGGCAGAGCCTCCACCTTTGCCATCATGTCCAATTCTCACCCTGCGGATCTGCCCAATGGCCACCGCCTCAATTAGAAACTCATCCAACTAGAAAAACACACAATAAGATTGGATGAAGATCAGTCATGTGACTTTTAAATTAAAAAACAAAACGAAGTGAAGCTTTCTTCGTGAGCTCTATGTTTAACAGTGCAGTGCCAAATATACATACACTTCCTTTCTCAAACTTGTTGACATTGTTTTTGCAGTTGATCAGGTCCCTATCTCCGGTGTCCCCTTGGTCTCCAATTAGATTTAGAAAAACAGATGCATCTGTGCCGCTACCACCGACCGTCCCCGTGCAGACAGTTACTCTGTATTTAATCACTGCAGAGCACAATAACATAATTCATCGTCACTTACATTCTTCTTCTTGTTTAGCTAATAAGATTTGGATTGTTCATGGTGAATGTGGATATACACACAGGGCAGAGGCTCAGCAATAAGCTCTCCGGTGGCGGGAAGCTCTCTCACAACCTCATTATCATCTTCATTACTATCCAGCCACCGCTCACAAGGAAATGTATACTTCTCCTTCGTTAATGTTTTCATTAATGTTGCCTGAATGAATAAAGATGATATTGATTTTTGATTGTATCAGTTGGAGCTGAGGATGCTGATTTCTTTATATTAGCACCATTCTTGTGTTTGCTAGGCTAGAATGTCTAAAAACTGGCTGTTTGAGATTTTAGGATTTTTATGAAATCACTAGCAGAAATAGGTATGGAAATGTCACAGTTGAGATAATTTATCCGATTACTAGATTTGAGAAATTCTCACCTTGCTTAGATGCCATCCTCCAAAAGGATTCCTCTTTTCATGCCAGATACGGAGTTTGGTCAGTTTTCCCAAATCAGGAAGTTCAACCTGTGATTTTAAGTCAAGGTAAAAGTAGTTTATTACTGTGTGCAGCCTCAATATCTGATGTGCTGATACTAATGTGCGTAGCACTGAATTGTAGGATACTTACCATAAATCTGTCAACTTGTCCTTGTTCAAAATTGTCTGTTTTGTTGTCCAGCCTGATCTCGTCTGACTTGCCCTTTTCTCCGTACACCTGGAATGAGATATCAGCATCGGTTCCTGCGCTGGGCAGGTCCGACGTCCAGATCCACAGCGACCAGGGATGCTCTGAGGAAAAGTGAACTCAAATCATCATCTTAAATTAGGACTGCCATAGCTTTTCATACCTCAGAAACTAATGGTGTCCCACTTTCATCATCATAATTTGTTTGTCACTGTGACTAAGAGCTCATCCATTCTCCCTGATTGCTTTGGCAGAGTGAAATAAAGTATGCTTTACACATTTGAGGGCAGTAGGAACACGAAGTCTCTGGAAGGATTTTTTGACAAGAGCTTAAAGATGTCAGGGGAGCAGCAGAAAATGCATTTTTGCTCATTAAAAATCTTCTCAGGACGGAAACTACCATTTTGAGGTGATTGCAGCAGACAGCTCCCAACTGTGATTTTTTGTGATTGTGAATGGGCATGAAGCCGGGCAGTGAAGGAATGCCCACTTTACAAATTTATGTCGAAATAATAAACTTCTGCTGTTTATGTTTGTCAACCAGAAGAAAACTAAGATAATACATAACAAATGCAATCAGCGGTTACATGTCTTCAAAATAGATATTGGACTTAATTTCACTGGCAATTTCACACAAAGCAGAATAAAGACAGGCTGCCTACTGCGTCAGTATGCAAATTTGTGTTAGTTCATTTACTGAGTGGTTCAGGAAATAAACGTGGAAATGACAGCATTAGCTGCCACCGCTGACTAGCCGTAATTACTAACATTCAGCTCACTTTTCTGTCTCTTCTGCCTGAGTGAGACCATCTCGTAGAGCTCTCGCTCTATCAGCCCATCTCCCTCCTTTTCATCCAGCCATTTACTGCATGGGAAAGTCTGCTCTATTCCGGTGAATGGGCAGTAAACCACAACCTGCAAAGAACGCAAGTTCTGTTAAACTATTTAATTGAAAATGAACACATTTTAATGCATTTAAGGGTGCTTGTGGAAATGTACCTTCTCGCAGTACCACCCAGTACTAAGCCCTCTGTTGTCGTGTCCAATGGTGACTCTGCTCAGGGGACTGAGGAGTGCAGCAAGCTCGACATTAAAGATGTCTGTTAAGTCCCGTTCAAACTTTCCTCCTTCCAAAAAGACCTTGATTAAGCACAACAGGGAAAAGTTTAAGTCTGGTTTGTCCACAAAGAAAGGAAGAAATACTCCTATATATTTGTTTAATATGTGCATTGACGGACTAATCCTGGTCAAAAATGACTCCATGATTCCTCACAAGGTTCCTGGAGGCCAAGGTAATGTCATCCAGAGTTGGTATCTGGTTAGATACCATATTTCCAAGATTTAAATAAATATACATAAAATGGTCACACTGATTACACAAAAAGTACATTTATTACAAAAATACATAAAAATGAAAGTGATGAACTTTTAACATTAAGAGGCAACCTTGGTAAACTGGCAAACGTGACCAAAAAAAGTTCTTTAAATCCTACAATGCCAAAGAATTTATAGAATAAATAAAATGTGCTGCCTGGGAGGAAAAAAGCTATAGAGAGTAAAATCAACCATAGTGGATTCATCTGTAATTAATTCGTGCTTAGGTGGGGATGGTTTGAGTGACAAAAGAAGAGTGAAAGCGGTGAGGCAGCACCTCAGCTAATTGGAGCCACTTGACTGGACCAGTCTCTCAACTCAAGTCTTCAAAATGATCCCTCTTTTATATCTACTTTAGATTCAGGTAGTCGCAAAAAAATGGGACTAAATCAGAATAAAAAGTGCCCTGCATTAGACCAGAAAATCATTGAGTTAAAGAAAAACACCTGCAGAGACCCACTGAAGTTAAGGCCACTTTTAACAACTCTGTTTTCAAATGAATCAAGTTTAAGGCAAAAGTTTAATAAGGAAGATCTGCATTGACTCATCTGCCTAGATTCTTGGGTGTTTGGGCTGCTAGTCTATTCTGTCAAACTCAGTTCTGTCATCATCACTCTGGTCCAATTATATTCTTGCCCGCCTTCTGCGAGTCAGTTGGCCTCTGTTCTGTGCTTTAAACCTCAGCGCTCTTATGTCATTCTGCTTTTCAGACTCCACCTTCAATTCATCCTGGCCCGACAGAGATCCTTATCAAGTCTCCACAGGTCCTGTCCTACTTCCTACCAAAGTTGGACTCTGCTCTGAGATCTGGCTTCATTGGTGTCTAATTGCCAAAAACTTTATTTATTTCAATAAATCATGCTCAGTTCCTTAAAATGATCTCTCCTCCTGGCAATGAAAATAATGATTCCTGCTACACTTATTAGTAAAATGCTTTCTGTCCTGTGTCTTGTATTTCCTCTTTACCTTCCCACTGTTCTTCAAGCCTTTCGTGCCGTGCATCACAATGTGGATTTTGGAGTTGGTCCCGGCACCCCGGATGTTTCCTGTCACAATCTGGACATTGTACACAATACCTGATGGATACAGTTACATGTTAGCTTATCACAGGTAGTGCCAGTGGGTCGCCATGGTTCACAGCACCCGTACTCCCAAGGATATGAGCAGGACCAGATAACCCAGATCTAAACAATAGTAGTCTGATCCAAGAAGTAATGCTTACACAGCTTTCTGGCAGGGTTAGTCTGCAGTTATTCATTAATAGTTAATAATTAATTAAAACTGAGGGAAACTATTTTGTAAGACAGCTCCGAATTGTCAACTATCCTTGAAGCTGCCATCGTGTAAACCAGTTGAATTTTCTCAGGCTTAAAAACCAATTTTCCAAATTTCACCTGTGGGCTGACTCCCTCCAACCAAAACATCCCTCTGGATCTTCCCATCATCCTCATCGATGGCAAACCAGCGGCTGATGGGGAATTCATACACTAGTTTGTTTCCAAGATCATCTACTATCACCTGTAGAAAAAAACTGCAATATTCAGTACAACTGGTCACACCAGAAACTACAAATATCAAAAAACCTAAATAAAATGAGATAGTGGTGCTTCATCTTCTCATGTGCTTGCTCGGTACAGGTCACATTAGTGCAATGCTATGATCAGTCTTACAGAGAAAGTTGCAGTAGAAGGATGAAATGAGGCAGAGCAGTCCGAGTTTCAAATTACAGTTTCTTAATTAAAGGCTGGAAAGCTGACTGAGCACATTTGTCTGCTGCTGAGGTGAAACATGCAAGATTGTCATTCAGTATCCACTTAGTGGCTGTTCCTTTCCTAGAGTGCTGAATATGATGTTGACTGTTTTATTCAAATGTGTTTTGCATGCGCAGGTTTCCTTTTTAGCATCCATTTTGTCTTTATGCTCTAGGCAAGAACTTAATCTAGGAGGACTGGACTGCTCTTTTTATGGCACCAGTGTTTTTGTTGTGTGTACAACTTGCACCGCAATCCTTAGACATGTGTTTTTATATGATATATATATAGATATTTGTATCAGCTTTACGTATTTCTTCCCCTAAGCTTTAGGGGATTAGTCTTGGTTAGTCTTGGGGGCATGGTGCACAATTAGTATTACTTCACCTGTATTCTCACTAGCTATTCCTCCCTTTTATGTTGTAGACTAAAAATCATTATTAGCTTTTATTAAGTAAGCATGCTCATATGTATCAGCGTATATTTGTCATTTGTCAATATATTGGTAATATAACAGCTGATAAATGTACATTTATGAAGCAAAGAAGAATACCACAAACACAACAACCAGCTAATCTGACCAGAATTGAACTTGAACTTTTTGGAACAATAAAAAAAAAGATGACTTTTAACTGCACTGTCATATTATTTTAGTAAGGACTCATAATTAACTTCACATAACAAATGTTATGGAAATATGTTTGTGTTTCATGTGTCTTAAAATGTTTTTGATAAAATAGATAAATCACCAAATATCGGTATCGGTCTTAAAACATCCGCAGTTATTTTATATGTGCTCGCTATCTTAGATTTGATTATGAATGTATTTTTGTATTTTCTGATAAACTGTAATAAAATGTCCATTTTTTTTATTTAACACTGAATTATTGTATATTGCTTATAGAGGTTTCAGTAGCAATGACAAAAACAAAGCTAGCCTCAAATAAATGCTCAGAATCTTTTAGTCCAGAATTTATCTCAGTGTAATAAGTAATTTAGTGGCTGCACAAAACACATTTGAAATGCAAATAGAATATGACTCAGTAACATTGTCACTACTGATCTTTGGTGTCAGCCTGTGCTGCAGTAACCAACAAATCTACCGACTCGTCTGTCTGTTTGCTGTAAGGCAATCTCTTAATGGGGCATGGTGTCCCTTTACACAGCAGGTAGAATGAAGACATGCGTGTTTCGCGTGTCTGTTTGAATGAACTCATCTCTCACTGTATGTGTTGGAGGTGCAGGGACGCTGGTCTCGGATGAGACGGCCGACAGGAAACAAGGAGATCGCATGTCTTAAGTACGACTGCAGAAGCAGGGCAGCGGCACAGCAAGACTCTTTTGTTTCAAGATAATGTACAGTAAAATCCTTAATGTATTATATAACAAATGAAAGTCATTTTTTATTAACAATGCAAACTGACAAAGGGGCATATCTTTTGACCATTAGAATCATGTCAACATCATTTTATTTTACAGACTCATAGGGGAACAGTCTTGTAAACAATACCTGTCCTGTCTGTTTATGTGCCTGTTTCTTACCTTCTCCACAAACCATCCTGCTGAGGAGCCTTTGTTATTATGTCCAATGGTGATCTTTCTAATTTTGCCCAAGTTCGGTGCCTCGATGGTGAATTTGTCCTCTGTGCCCTTTTCAAAGTTATTTTTGTCGTTGTCAAGTCGCCTCTCCCCTAAAATAGAATCAATGAATAAATAAATAAATTATAGCAAACATATTATAGTTTCATTTATTCATTATAGTTTCATTAAAGTGCTTCTTTCAAACTTAAGTGACCAGATATGCTGCACGTGTTACCTGTATCTCCAAACTCCCCAAAGATGTTAATAAAGACATCTGCATCTGTGCCACTTCCTTTTACATCTGCAGTGAAAACACTCACAACAAATTTATTATCTGGAAAATTAAGAAAAAGTACAAAAAAGTCACAATTTTTGCAGAGTTTAAAGACAAACCTGATATATAAACTTCTTAAAAGCATGTCAGCTGCTAATGCCAACCAGATACTTAGAGGGTTTTATCTATGCATACATACATTTGGGTATGTCCATGGGGTCTATGCTGCCCAGCAGGTCTCTGATGTAAAGGCCATCTCCCTCTACCTTACTGAGCCAGTTATTACAAGCAAAATAGAACCTCAGATGAGGTCGAATCACATCCGTTACCACGACTCTGTCCAAGAACCAGCTGGGATTAAGGCCAGTGTTGTCATGCTCAATCCTGGAGAAACAGAAACATGTGGATAAATTACATGTTCCTGGTCAAAAAAAAATGGTTAAGGGTGTTAAAAAATATCTCATGTCTAACAAACCGTATCTTTTTCAAGGATCCAACATTGTGAGTTCTAATTCTGAACACATCTGTTTTGGCCCTTTCGAATGCTGTGCAACTCCTGAAATACCAAAAAAGGTTAAAATTCAGAAGTCACCTGAACGTCATCCTCTTTTGACACATCATACTATTCACTAAAAAATAAATACAAACTAATCAGAAGTAAAAATGTAAATCTAGGAGAATAATTACCAAAGTCATGCAAACTTTGAAAAAATCATGCAGTAAATGGTGCCACCAATAACCACAGCACAATCTGATGGCTAAGCTGTCACAGCAATTTTTTAACACAACAATAAATACATACTTCTTTTCTGTGCTGTGAAAGAGGAGGAAAGACATCGTTTTAGTTCATATAGAAAATAAATACTGAAATGACATAGGGTTTATTTTGAACTGGAGGCTCTTAGAGTAATCACTCTTTGCTGTTTATACGCTTGCAGACAAGCTTACATCTAAACTCCACTAATCTTTAAAGGTGACTTACTTGCTAGCCAGGTGGACTTTGGGTGTGATGCCATAATCTCCAAAAAGAGTAATAAACACATTGGCATCAGTGCCTGCTCCTCTCTCATCACCAGTGATGGCAACCACCTCGTACACTACAGGGTTCAAAAAGAAGAGAACAATAAAACCAAGTAAAGTGTGAAGATGCATTAAGGTATTGTGGTAAACATAAATACATACATACTAGGTGACAGTGTGCATTTGTGTTTTAGTACTTCTGGCCTTCTGAAACTTATCGTAAGCTTAATTTATTCAAACCCACACAGATGTTCCCAGTTATGTTTTCAGATAAGACAATAGGTTGCCAAATTTAATGCACTAATTCAAAAGTTTCTCACAGATACTTTGAAGCTTAAATATTTTATATAGGATAGTCACTGTATCCAATTAGATGATTATGAAGCAATAAGTATTGCTTTGAACTGGTCAAAAAGAAATATCATACTGGGCAAGTAAGCCAAGAATAATACTAGTGGCCACATGTCTGACCGTTTGCTATGAATTGTTAAGATGTGTCCTTTTTTTTGGACTATATGAGGCATGGAGTTATCCACTGTGACACACTATCCAAGATAAAACATACAAATCTTATGATTATTGCTTATTTTTCTCTCAAAATTGTCCATCATTTTGGTTGGTTATCATTGGAACCAGGTATAATGAAGATCTATTCAAGTGATGTGTTTATCTGATGAAGTTGAAGGTGTTTTAAATCTAGATTTCCATTTCTTATGTTTACTAATAGAATTGTTGGGGAGGGCTTGAGCTAATCCTTAGACAAAAAGGGGTACGGAACGAGCAGGTTACTCTACGTTCTCACATCCACACCTTCAGCCAGTTCAGGATCACCAATTAACCCAACAAGCATGTCTTTGAACTGTGGGAGGAAACAGGAGCACCCAGAGGACAGGCACAACTAAGAGCTGCTATCATGACATGTAACTGGTTAACCTGAGTTTTACTTAGATTATGAAAAAATATTTAATGATGAAACAACACACAAGTCGAATACATGACAAGATTTAAGCTTAATTGTTCTTCAAATGACTTTTGATTCCACTCCACTACATCTAAATTAAATTGCTAAAACGAAACAAATCTCAAATATATATCTTTATATTTCTTACTTCTTGAAACAATAAGATTTATTTATATAATTAAATACTTTAAAGATAAACCTAAAATCCATCCATCCATTTTCTTTCACTTCTTTTGCTTGAATGTGAGTGTGAATAGCCGTCTAAACACTCAAATAAAGTGCTAACATTTAAAGTTTACAATATCGTGGTGCATTTCATTGTGTTTCTTTGTTTTTGTAAGATGATGTTTCTTTTTGTTAAGTTCAGTGTGACTTTGCTTTGGGTTGTTGTGGACTGGGATGGACGTGAAACCACCCCATGTAAAGATTAACGACATTATGTTCACTACGCCACTATGTCCATCCGCCTCATGAACATTAAACTAAGGCAGCGACACTGCTAGAGACAGTGAGACTCCTGAAACTGCAAAGATCCACCTGTCCTCTGGGTGTCGAATAACTTTCCTGAAGCAGAACTGACATTATATTGTCCTTGATTCTCCTGAATATACATATTTTACACCTGCTGCTCCCTCATCTTGAATTCTGCATTTTACAAGAGATGAAAAAAAGTTTACCTTTCTTTTTGTGATACTCATCCTCGTAGTTCTCCACTTTTTCCGGCTCGTAGGTACGAAGCTCTTTCTCATAGATTTCAACATAATTTTCAATCTTCTTCTTCTTGCCTTTTGTCTTCTTGGTGTCTTCATCACTGTCTCCCTTTACTGAACCTTTCTTCTTCTTGTCTTTCTTTTTCTTTTTCCCTTCCTCTTCTTCAGGGTCCTCCTCTTTCTTGGATTTTTTGTCCTTTGATCCCATCTTTGACTGAAGACTTCTTCTTTGTGGTTTCAATCACATCAGGAAACTTTTCTCCTCTCGTGCTACCCTTGGTTCTGCTGTCATTAACTTCATTATTGTTGCTGAATACTCTTTTGTCTTCTTAACCTGATTTTCCTTTTTTTTCTAGATGCTCCTCATATCAGACCCTGATTAGTCAGAATTACATCCTGCTTCATCCTTGTCCTTCTTCTTCTTCAGTCTCCTTTGACTCACTCATCTACTCATCTGGTGAAAAACCTGTTAGGTTTCCTCCACTGCTCTCTGACTTCTTTTTTCTTTTTTGTAGACATCTTAATTTATTTAATACCTTGTAACCATAGCCAATTCCTGTGGCTGAAACTTGATTAAACTGACCCGTGACAGCACAGGAATGACCCACTGCTAGGACAAGTCTGACTCAGAGTTTACACAGTTTCTTAGTAGGTGGCTGGGGATTATCCTCTTTATTCATGACCTCATGAGAAATTATGAAGTAACCTGAGCAGAGCATAGGGCAGGTTCCCTCCCAGAATGGAGACCTGCTAGAAAAGTCCCTACAGATCAACGGCAGCAAGTAAATAAATGAAATGACTGATACATGTTAAATATGCGTCAGGTCACTAACCCTGTGAGTATTACATGACTGGTATTATATTACAGCCTGTTATTAAAATATAAACAACATTTTATGGTTATGTGTTATTCAACAGTAAAACAGATGTTGACTGTTTCGCATGTGCAGGTTTCTTTTTTAGCATCCAGATTCTGTTTTCTCTTTATGCTCTAAAACAGTAAAACAAAATATGAACAGAGTATTTTTAATTAATTTTTTTAATTAATTTTTAATTAAGGATTTTTTGTTCTATTATATTATCAACTAACTGCTGAACATTACACAAATTATTGAGTTTGTTAGACAATCATAATTTTTTGTACAAACCTTAAAATAACAGGCTTAATCAGTTGTTTTTAGCTAATGTTGGTTTCTCTGATATGTGCAAGTTATTGATATATTTGACATGCAAACATCCTAAACATCAAACATCCTAAACTTTTAAATATCCTGCCAAATTCGGACTTCATATAATCGAGTGGAAAGTAATTCTTTCTCTCTAAAGTGTAATGTATTAGAAGTAACATGTAGTAATAGAAACGTCCTAAGCTAATGTAGGCCATTTAAAAAAAATAAAAGTTTTAAATTGATATTAAAAACAGATACTGCAATGGGAAAAAAACTGTTTTGTACGTGTAGTTCTAATTGCAACCAGCAGAGGGAGATATTTACGTTTGGATCAGCGTTCAAAGTGTGCTTTTTGTGTTTGCACCCACTCAGCAGAGGATGACCATTGCTTTTGTCATCCAGACTGACTTATCAAAAGGAGCTTATCCCAGCTGGTTTTAATAAATGAAGTTAAAATCACAATGTGCTTCAAACTGCTTGTAATAAGTAAAACAATATCTGTAATGAAAATTTAGTTTTAAACAAACTGGAAAAAGAATCTGTTCACTGCAACATAAGCAGTTAAAAAAAAAAGCTTCATCCTGTATTCATTTTCTGTCTGGGCAAATGTTTTTTCTCCATTTTCAGCAATGTTTCCTTTGGCTGTACAGCAGACATATTCCCTTACACGATGGGCTCAGCCACAATGAAAGCTCTTCCTCTTCCATGTCCTCATCTTCCTCCTTCTGTTTCCCCCCGCCTTCTTCCCCCAACATCTCATTCTCTTGATGCAGTTCTGATTCTTTTCAAAATAGTTAAACTCACTCGAAGTACCTAAATGTTAATGTTTGCATCTGTGAAACAGGCACATTAGCGTTTCATTGCAGCAGTTACGTTGTAACTTACGATCACAGCCTTATTTAAATGGTTTCAAATTCTGTGATTTGGGCCACTGAACGTGTCTAATTTTACAGCTAATGTTCAATTTGCTCACCTAATTTTCCTCATTAGTTGATGACTATGCAATCACAGCTTACACACACAAAAAATAACAGTTAAACTGTTTCTGCAGATGTATGTTGTCACTTCAGTGGCTAGACTATAACATTAGTTTGTTGAGACAGCTGTTTATTGACTGAATAAACACCAGTAAAATAAACAAAATGCATGTTAAAAGAGAAGAGAGATAATTGAGACCCACTCCCTCGCTGTGTAGTCTCTCAGTTGGAAAGCTGTTGGGTAAGGAGGCTGTTTATAAGATCCATATCAGTGAAGGATCCAGGAAAAGGAGTTCACGATGACAGTCCTGACAACCTTAACAAGCTCACGGCACTAAATCACTACAGATTTCTTTCGAATTCATTGAGAGAGGAAGAAGTTTACGCTACAGAGGAGCAGATCAGCTGTCATCTGTGTCCACAGGGGCCAAATACTGGACATCAAACTCAGCATTTATCTGAAATGTCTTTGAACATAGATTCAAAGAGTTTGAATCTCAGAGCTTAGTACAGCAGTCAGCCAATTACTATTGCTGCTTGTTCACTGGAGTCAACTAAAGGTCACTCATATTATAGTTGTTCTTGTTCAAGAAGCTGCCGGTTGGCTTATCCAGATAGAGGATGTGTGGATCTGTATGTATAGGTGAGGAAGGTTGTCTGTCTCTCTGTGTTAGCCCGGTGATGGACTGGCAACTTTCAGAGTGTACCCTGCATCTTGTACAGTGTCAGCTGGGATAGGCTCCAGGTAGCCTGGGATGCTAGTTTGATTCAATGAGCAAGACTCCCCTCATAAGTAAATTCACTACCTTGTTGTCAAACTTCATACAAAATGTGAGGCAACGTTAATATCATTGGGTTTTAAAAACTGGGAAAAAAGAAAAGTGACATTATACAGCAAATTAATAGAAAATTTCAGGTGTGGAGCAAAAAACCCCATAATAAGTAAATAACTACTGATTCGAAACAATATGACTTTAGTAAAATCCATTTGCCCTAAGCAAGGGGATAAAAAGAGTCAACCATGAATGCACCCCCAGACATGGAGATTTGACCATGTCGTGACCGGTAGGAAAATCCTGTAATCTACTGCTCAACAGCAACAAAAATAAGGGAATGGTTGCTGACATTAGAAAAAATGTGACAAAGACAAACTGTTTGTATCAGATGAGCTGAGGCAGACCTGAGGTGGAGCAGAAGAAAAGCTTTATGTTCTTGAGAATCCATATCCAAGAGAATCTGCTGCGGTCATCCTCGGGTAAGAAAGCCCAGAAATGACTTTACTTCTTAATTAAATGTAGGCTTGGTCTTAGAATTTTTGAAGTTCTTCCTAAACTTAAAGAGAAGCAATTGAAAGCATCTCAACTGTGATGTGCACACCACACCAAACTAACAAGCTTCAGTTATACCTGTGAGGTGAGGTGTGCAGAGTGGAGCCTCCAATCGGGCACTTTTTAAAAATGTATTTAGTATTCTTTAGTTAGTAGCAAAATGGAGTTATATCGTGGGAAAAAACATTTTGTTATGTAGTAAAAAAACAAATAAGGTGTGCAATTTATGCTTGTTTAAATATTTCCTTAATCATTCCAGTGTTTGAACTGGCATTTAAATGATTAAAATCCTGAAAATAATGTAATTTTTGATCGTTCTGATATGGACTCAAGTTGATTAACTGGTTTATGAAAAGCAACAAAACAAAAAACAAAAAACAATTGTTATATGAGGATTTTATGGCAGATTTTTTGTGTGTACATTTTTGTCCACGAAGATGTCAAAAGAGTGTAAAATTTGAGGAGGGCACAAGGGTTAAGGATTCCACAGAAGTTTTATGATGAATATTTGTGACTTTTTTATTATTTTATAAGTGATTAAAACTGTCTTACTGATCTTACTTAATTTTAAGTGGTTGCCATTTGTGTAACGCAGGTCGCTACTTAAGAAAACAGCTTAATCTATTTAAACAATTTAGAGTCTATGAACCCAAGAATCACAAGAGTCTGTGATATCCTTGACGTTTGTGTCTTTAAAAGATGAGGGTAGTTAAAAAAAGCAAACAGAGCATCTTTCCTCTCTGCATATCCACGACACCCTGATTCATTATCAGCTTTTGGAAATGAACTGATTGACCCTGATTTATTTTAGAGATATAAACATCAAGAAGAAATGTAAACTCTTGTGGGAGTCTGAAATCCTCCTGTAAGTGATGTTGACTTCAGATCCTTTCGTAGCCTGTAGATTATAAGCTTAATTGGTTTCCCAAACTTCAAATGTTTATTTTCTATCCCATCCAGAAGGAGATTCGTGATAACACAGCCGTGGCTTCGCGACACAGAAGACACTCCGCAAAGTCATTCAAAACAAACACACTGGAGGGTTTGTGGGTTCACGCAGGATGCTCAGGAGGAAATGAAGAGGAAATCGACTTCCACAGAAGGATACGTGAGGAACACAGCACTGTCATGTTGCTCGGTCAGCTACCTCAGTCCATGACTGTGGTCGTGTTATGTTGTGACAAGGGGATCAGATTGTGGTGAAACCTAAACACTGATTTATTTGACAAGGACAAGGTGATTGGTTCGTTCTCAGAGCAACTTGTTTGTGTGGCGGTTTTGCAACAGGGAAAGAGGTCACAGCTTGTGCTGATAGTATTATGACTGGGGCCGACAGGTGGCATAAGGAGAGATGAGAATGAAAACCAAAGTTAAAGGTGTCATGTTGGCAAGCAAGCCGGAAAGCCCTTTTGTGCTCAGGAGGGTACAAAACAACACTGTGCAATGGTAAAGCACCTAAAACATCACAATCGTGTGACGGCATGCTTTCATGGAAATTTAGAGGCAATCGGTGGTGCTACTTGATACTTTGGGCTTCCTTAAAGCAGCGATTAAACTTGCCCTTCTTCCAAAATGGAGGTGACATCCTGTAATATTTTCAGATAATACGTTTAATAGTTTCACCTTTTGGTAAAAAGAAATTACATTAACAATGAACTAAATCCCTAATCTAGCTAATGTAGACATCAGGAAATTACAGGCTTTCTCTCCTTTTTAGAAATGCAGCCCTGTGGTGATGGTGACGAAGAAGAGGTCATCACAAGCCTTTCACTTTTCTGATCCCAATTTATTTTACTCTTCCACAGATAAAGCCAGAAACCTCCCGATACAACTACTAAAACGAATACCAATTTGTCGGCTCACCTGAAGTGGCAGCAATCATTGTTGAGAGCTCGTATAATTACCCATCTGGTGCTTTACTAAATTCATTTTAGCAATCAATTCTACTTCGTGCTTAATCACTAACTGTCATTTTGTCTGCAACAATTAATGCCTCTGCACACTCACAGTCCACCCACATAGATGTTCTTGTTTAAAGTGGCCAATATTTTTATAGTAATGTAGCCCATATTCCTCATTTCTCTGGGGGTAGCGTTGCCCAGTCTCTGTGGGCTGCGGTTGAACATTAGACTACAGTTTCACTTAAAAATATCTTTAATGATAAACATCAACAAAGCGGGACGGTGTGCATGATACACAGTATATGTGGAAAATGATGAAGTGCTGCACTGCTAATGTACCGATAATGAAATACTTTAATATGCAATGAATTCAATTCTGTAGTCATTAAGTCATAACCCTGCACAACTTAATATTGAGCATAACATGCTAAAAGCTAAAGTTTATCAAATGCTAGTTTGAAGACAACGTAACAGTTTAAAAGGATTAAAGGTTGATGGAGCACTTCAGTGGGTTTATTTTAACTTCAGAGTGTTTACATTTGAAAAGTCTTTCACTGACTTGACTTATTCTTTTGTTATTCAGCGCTCTGTGCATTACATTTTAACCCAGCTGTGGCCCTTTGCATGCTTTATCCGTCAGTTCACGCCCCTGAGAAATAATGTTTCCCACTCCTGGTCTAAAGTCATCAGTGGCACCAAAGCAGCATTCAGCAGCATGTTTGGATGTTAGCAAGTAAACAAACTGAATACTTATTATTAATTATGAACACAGTCACAGTATCTGAGGACACCAGATGCAAGCATTTGTGATAAAAACTGACTTAACTTCAACTGATTTGATTAATGATACCGTTCTACAGCATTTCCTCTATTTTTGCATTGTCTTCACTGACAGACAGACAGAAAGAAACAAACAAACCCCAAATAACTCAGTTGTCATGGTTACATCAGATCTCCTTCCTCTTGACCATCTGCACACAGATCAAATATAAACTTAAAAGTGGGATTTATGACAGAAATTGGGCGAGAACATTTTTGAGTACAACTCACATCAGGTTTTATTTTCTCTTTTACAATCCCACTTAGTATCACAATGCAAGCTTCAATCAGCTAGAGTAATCGAGGACAGCAGTAGACCTGTATATGATTGCTACTTTTCACAAAAGGTCATTGGAAAGGTCCATCCATCTTCCTCCGCTTATCTGGGGCCGGGTCGTGGGAGCAGCAGCCTACGCAGAGAAGCCCAGACCTCCCTCTCCTCCACCTCCTGCAGCTTGTCTGGGGGAACACCAAGGCTTTCCTAGGACAGCCGACAGATATAATTTCTCCAGCATATCCTGGGTCTGCCCCGGGGTCTCCTCCCGATGGGGCATGCCCGGAACACTTCACCCAGGAAGTGCCCAGGAGGCATCCGCATGAGATGCCTGAACCACCTCAACTGGCTCCTTTCGATATGGAGAAGCAGCGGCTCTGAGCCCCTCCCGGATGGCCGAACTCCTCACTTTATCTCTTAGGGAGAGGCCAGCCACCCTTGAGGAAACTCAATTCC